TGTCCTCAACAAACTTGAGAGGAAGATTAAGGTAACATTGTGTTTGTGCTAGTGGATAAAATGACTAATCTTCTAGTAGATAGTTTTAGAGCCCATGACTGAATAAAATATAAAATGATAAACAGAACTGAACATAGTGGTTATCACTGATGCGACCTTGAGCCTAGTAATATATATTTGCACCATTTTGCGAGTTAATGGAATCATATTCCTCCTACTAAGGATGTTTTATGTTTCTCTTTAGATCTTTAACATGGATGGAAGAAGGTTCATCAATGCTATGTTTTCTAGTGAGAAAGCTCATTCCATCACACATGTAGTTATGAATTTGCCGAATGATGCTGCAGAATTTCTAGGTAAGTCGGTCAACTTGCGGTGGCCAGAAGTTTTCTTTTACTTGTATTTGCTTTCCACGAGTGATTAAGACTTATCTTTGGTGTACTTTGTAGCCTGTGAACTGCTTACCTTAGTTATTTCTAGTTGTTTGCCATAAGCTATTGTGACATTCTTCGGGTTGCATGTTGAAGATCAACTAGTTGATCATAGTTGTTACTTGTTATTAAAGGAATTACAGATAAGATTGCATCAGTTATGTTGAAGATCAACTAGGATTCAGGTTCTAACATGTTTTACTGTAATTTAAAACAGTATTAGATAATGTTTCTTAGCCGACAAACAATGTTCTCCAGGGCCATGTTTGGCACAGGGAGAGATGTTGACTAAAAGTTTTTGTTTAAGTGTCTTCAGAAAGAGGTAAAGCCTTCTGAAATCACGGTGGCTGAAGTTTAATTGCTTTCTATGTTTTGGCCTTGACAAACAGATGCATTCAGGGGAGTATACAGAGATCAACCTAGAGATAATGAATTCAACTTCCCCATGATTCATGTTTACGGATTTTCTAAAGCTCGAGATCCTGAGTTTGATTTTCATGAGGTCTAGTGCCAAAATCTCATAATATTTGTGTATCCGTTCAGCCAGTGCTAGTTTAGTTGCCATTTTTTTCTCCGTTTCTTCATTTCATATTGATTTTCATGTTCCTTGCTAATGCAGCGGATACGAATCGCCTTGCAAGAAGTTGAGGTTAATGTGGACATGAGTCGGGTACGCCTTGTTGCACCCGGAAAATATATGTTCTGTGCATCTTTTATCCTTCCCAGGAGTGTAGCTTTTGCAGAACGTAGTTTGAATGTGTAAATAGTTATGGAAAACTGAGAATTTCATATCAAATTTTGTTTAATAAACACCTTATTCATTTATGTGGCAAATATAGTTATTCTCACTGAGGTGAATATAAAATTTCAGAAGACTCCAACCAAAAGAAAAGTGCACAAAACAGTGAAAATACCTAAAAAACAAAGAATTCATGTTTTTAACGATACATAAGCATCTTACAGGCACATCTAGTTACTGTCCCCACGTTTATGTTTTACAGTCCTGTCTGTTTTTTTCTTATATGCAGTACTATAACAGCTGGGGGTCCCTGTTTTGGATGGCTCGGATTAACCCAACCCATCACTCTGAAGCCACTCTGTTGAGAGATCCTGTCCCTCCATAAAAATCTTAAAGAACCAAAGACAAAGATTTTTTTCTTTTTAACTATGTTGGGCAAACATGCAATAAAACCTTGGAAAAGGAGTCACGTAGGGAGAAAGATAACAGCAAAGAGCAACAAAATCTCAGTTCAGATTGCTGAGATCCGAGTAATTATTATTGTTTTTATGACTGTGGTCCAATATTGAAATGAGAGAGAATAAAAGGGATCTTTTGATCATTGCTAAGGGCTTCTTTGTTTTTTTTTTAACCTTAAAGAGTAGGGCTCTTTCACAAGTTGAATAAAGCTACAACCAACAGTTACTCTAACCTTTGGTTTCTTATAGCAAACCTTTAAGATACCCTTTGAAGTTCAAACCAAATGGTTACCTACTCTAAGGGGTTGTTTGTTTACTTCATAATGATTAAGCTTTGAATGATTCAAATGCTGAATGATTCAGAGGCTCTGAATGGTTTGACTCTGAATGTGACATGTTGTTTGATAACTGGTTCTGAATGATTCAAAATGTTCTTCTGTGCTAAATCATTCAATACTGTTTTGCTGAATCAGTCAACACTGAATCATTCAGAGGTGTGAAACAATGAATGGTTACATTAAGAGGCAAACAAACAACCCCTAAGTAAGTATATGCACTTTATTCTGTTGTTGGCGGGAAATCTAAGGTTAATTTGCGGTTGATTTTAACTTAAAACATTATTATATCTACTATAAAAAATTATACAATTGATAGTAATTTCGGTTATAATCGAAAATGTTACATTAGAACGGGTTTTAACTTAAAATGTTATTTTATCTACTTTAAGATGTTATAATAATTTTGACTACAACAGAGAATGTTATATTAGTTTCTTGACGGTACCTTTTTATGTTATAACTAAAATAGTTATGCAAATTATATTATTTTTTGTGAAGAACAAAATAATTTTGGTTTCAATCTAAAATCTTAATTTACTCTAAAAATTACGTGCTAGGTAAATTTTCCGTCACAATTGATTGTAATCTTTATTTAACTTAACCAATTGTATTTTACACTCTTCAAACATGTGCATTGATCTAATTAGTTTTTAAGTTGTGGAAAGATTATTATTACACTAATGCAAATTAATATAAGAATAAAAACTGAGTTAGTTTGATGTCACTTTCTTTAAGGTAATATACATATGGTCCCCCATTGTCATGCAAAAAAGGAGGTTCCGTAGTTATGGTCATAGCCCTATAAATGTATGATCTCCATCAAAAGCTGCCAAATGGTAGGACACCTTTGCATATAAAATCCCTAAAACTGAGTTCATGCAGGGTACAATCTGCTTCCCAAACCCCAAGAATCCTTCCATGTCTGCCCAAACCCAGCAAACCCTAAACCCGCTGTCTAAACCCCAAAACAGATACATGATTATAAGTAAGGAAGAAAACCCTAAACCCTCTGGTTTCACACATGTGGCCAATCTCCGACCACCTTCCACACGTGCCAAAACTCATTTTTCGGTAGCCGCCTATATCCCAACACCCAAGGTGGCCACTACGACCAATGTCCCTTTTAGAAGATTCTTTCTTCTTTGTATATGAATAATAAAACTTCATCACACCATACATATGCATATGGCCTAGGATCTAGAGTACTAGATCAAGGCTTACAGAAGGAGACTAAAGATTAAGCAGTTTTGCTTATGTGGCAGGTGATCATTGGTTTGGGTTTTTATACCGTGGATCGTCTCCTATATAAATTTGTTCAGCTTGCATGCAATTGTGTGAAAGGGACGGGGATGCATGGGATGATTATAAAGATCTTCAACCAGAATCATATCTGAAAATTACATCTTTGGTTAGTCACGCGGTTTTTATTGTTTTTTTTTTCTTCCTCCACTCGTTTTAAGCTTTTATAACACAGGAATCTGGTGCCATGAACTTGATTCAATGGTAACAGGGCCTAGGGGGATTTCTGGTAGCGAAGTTAGGACTTTCGTATAATGGGGGTCTTATACATGCACTAAAGATTATTATATTTTTTTATATATAAGATTGAGTGAATACTCTCTCTCTTCTCCTCTTCTTCCTTCTCTCACGACGAAACTGTCTCTAATCTTCAGTTATCATCTTCTCCCGAATCACCGATTACAATACTTGGCATAAATTGGAAGAGATAAACTACCCATAAACAAGTTGGACAATCCCATAAACTAGTAAAGTACCCCCATGGACTCAGCTTTATTTATTTTAAGGTGTTTTCAAAATATGCAGAGATCAGGGCATCATTGAAACCCTACAACATAGCTGGGCAGATTCACATTATCATGACCAAATCGTACTCTTTATGATTGCTCTTCCACCTTTTAATTATAATACAATTATATATAAAAAAGTAATTAGATTATAATATAATATATGTCATAAATTCCAAAGCATATATCAAATTATTATGTTAAAAACCACCACCACCACCTTATTATTATAAGCTTTATTCCCATAAATCCAAAACCAATTTACAAATAACATCAGTGCATATTTTAATTATGTATAATCTAAACCCAACTTGTACCACAAAATATAATAATAATAATAATAATAACCACAAAATTATATAGAAGAATTAGAAGTAAATTGAAAAGGATTAAAAATACATATTTTGCATGAAGATGAAAAGACGTAATGTTTGTTTGCTACTTGTGTCTAAAACTGACACTCCCAACTACTTGAAACGGAGTTGTAACGTCCTTTGTGTCTCGGATCATGTATAAGTGGTTCTCAGTTTCCGACACGTGTCTCTAGGTACTATTCTACTTTAACTCCTAATTCACCCTCTCTTTCGAGCGTTAAATACAGTACTCCATTACGGGACGGCCTTTGCATTACACGCGCCTTTTGATGAACTGCTTCTGGATTTTTTTTGAACAGGGTTTGCTATTTCTAGGCTGGAATTTGTACTTCTCATGTCGGTTTTACTGATTTCTGGAAAGAATTTTTTTGTCCTTTTTATTATATATATATATATATATATATATCATATATATCGAGGAAACAAATTTACCAACATCATGATTTTCTTAATATATTATTAATACTATATAAACTTTTATATATTTTTTAAAATAATAATAGATGATTATTAGATAATATTTATTTAAAAAATTTAAGTTTCGTAGATAGAGATAAAGTTTTAAAATTGATTAAAAGAATAACAAACATATAAAAGGGAAAAGAAAAATACCAAAAAACAAAAACATGTATAGCTTTTAACAGTTCATATGGTAGATTTATCTGTTCTTTTATTAGCGTTCTCAAAACTTAGTTTTTAATTGCATCAAATTGATGCCTAAAGAAAATCCAAATCTTTCATAACCCTCTGTCTATAAAAAACCGTTCTTTTTTATCATCAAGCAAAAGCCAATTGCAAATATACAAAAGAGCCTCTCCTTTGTCTCTCTCTCTTTTTTCTTTCAGTTGCCAAAAACCATCAAACCCCTATTATTTTAATGGCCACTTCACTCACACTCTCGAGTCCAAACACAGATAACCCAACAACAAAACCCATGGGAGACGAAGCTAAACCAGCCATGGAGTTTGTGAAGAGCAACAAAGGGAAGAAACCTAATGGGAAAGCCCCGTGCCCAAAGAAACAGCCACAAAGAGGCATGGGAGTTGCCCAACTCGAACGTTTAAGGAAAATGAATGAAACGAGAACCACAACGGGAATAACCCAGTTCCCTTGTGAAACTAGAGGAGCAGCTGGGAATGTTCCCGTGCTTCACGGTATAGTTCGCTATGGTGTTCCCATGGTGATCAATGGTGGAAGTGGGGGGTTATGGGGTTCGGGAAGTGAAACAGATGGTTTGATGATGCAAAGGGTTGTTGGAAATGGAGGATTTGGTGGGTTTAATGGTCAGGTTTTGGTGGGAAATCCGGGTAATTTGCAGGTCGGTTGCGGTGTTGTGGAGGCTTCTAAAGAGCTCTCTTCAATGCCAAAGTTTCAGCATTGTAAACCTGATCGTTGTGATAGTTGCTTTAAGGTCTAGTTTTTCTTAATCTGCAAAGTTTTTTGAGCTTTGGGTTTAGTTTTGTGTTTCTGGTTTGGACTAGAGTCCTGTTTGGTTTGCTAGAAAATATAACAAATCCAGAAAGTAGACAGTATTTGTCTTGGCCATCTTTATTTCTATCTTACTGATCACTTTTTACACATGTTGCAGAAGAAGCGTTGCAATGGAGAAACGGGAGGGATATTAAACCAATATGGACAAATTTTCCCCAGAAAAGAAGTTGATTTTCACGGAAGGAACCTGGAAAACAATCAAAATTACACCAATGAAGAGATGAATGGATTCAGTGCAAGAGCTGCAAGGAGTGCTTATACCTATGCAGCAGCAACAGGAGGCCAAATGAACAACATCAATGAGGTAAAATGAAATTGTGTTTTCAATCAAATCAAACACATTTCTTTTCTACTGGAACTATTTTGATGTAATTTCATTTTTCTGGGTTTTTTTCTTGGGGGCAGTCTGTGGATTTGTTGGCTATTCACAAGAAGGGAAACTCAGTTGGCACTGGAAGTTATGTGATGGAGTACGAATTTTTCCCAGAGAAAAATGGCAGGAACACGGCTTTCAAAGAATGGGAACTTCCAAAAGAAGCTTCTTTGTCTCTGGGAGGTGAAGCTTCTCATGCTAATGCTTCTAATTGTGTTGATTTGTCACTCAAGCTTTCTTATTAGAAGCATATATATACAGGGAAATTGTCTGTTTGGTTTTACTGTTACATTGATTTGGAGGTGTATGTGTAATTAATGCCCTTTTGACAAAAAAACCAAATTCCAAACACAGCTTTAAAAAACTTAATTATATATAATTCTAAATTTACTGCAATTGATCTTTATGCTTTCTGCAATCCATTTTGTCAGCTTCAAAAGATTTGTACATGTCCCAAGCTTTAAAGCTTGGCCCGGAAACTATATGTAAAAGAAGCTGGCTTTAAAAGACGGCTACCATTGCTATATATAGAAGAAGATCTGATCTTGTGTTGTTGCATGTAGAAACTGCAAATCAATAGTTTCAATTGGCTTAAGTAACCCTGGCTGCCATCAAAATGCTGAGTTGTGTGAATTTTTGCATTTGATCATTATAGCTCCAATTTTTAAGCTCCATTTTTTTGTTATATTTCGTAGTTGTCTCTCTCAATAATGTCGTTTCTAAGATTCCATTCTGTAGGTTAGGGTTTTTGAGATTATGTATATATATAGGATGGAAAGAATGGGCTAAAAACCCTAGCAACTGTTACCGTCTCTCTTTCAGAATTTTATTTTTAGTTTTTTTTTTCCAATGTGGTGAGACACAAGGAGGGTATCTCTAGCTTTCTGTTAATGGGAGTGAGCTAATTGAGTAAACCTTTTTAGGGTTTTGCTTTTGAAAAAAGTGTAACCAGAGCACTGTTTCCGGGAAAATCTAAGCAAAACGACTCTGGAGATGATCAGAAACTGGCTGCTGCTAGCTGCTACTGTAACTGATGAGTGCAGTGAAGCTTTTCAATATAAACTTGGAACACACAAATAATCTTAACAAAATCTAAGAATTTTTTAAATAAATTGTAATTAAACCGAAAATGACTGGAAACCAAACAGTTTTGTGTAACATTTAGATATGCAGGATGTGGGATTTATAGTCTGGTTAATTGGTTGCTCTCAGTGATATGTTTCTTCATTCCCCAGCTTTTCCTTTTCGCTTTATTTTGGTTAGCCATTAAAAAGAAAATCAATCCTTTCAAGTGATTCACGGGTTAGCACATTTTTGCACTGTTCTCTCATTTTCCTGGAAAATACGATGTTGAACTATTATAGGAAATTGCATGCATTGCCACCAAAAAGTAATAGAATTACGTGAACGGCAGGATTCGAACCTGCGCGGGCAGAGCCCACATGATTTCTAGTCATGCCCGATAACCACTCCGGCACGTCCACGAGACTGGTGAAAGTGTTCGATATTTTAGTTACAAAAACTATTTCTTTTAAAGGATAAAGGTCACTTCGCATGGTTTGTTCTTTTGGATATTATTTTGTAAATGTCTGGAACAAAGAAGAGCATATTCTTGATTCTCCAAATATAAATATATAAATTTAATTTAATTTCTAGCTGTTATGAATTATTAAATAATAAATTAAAAATCCTCTATGAACACTTTTCTTTTCGTTTTCTTCACTTTTACACATATATATTTTTATAGATATATTCTTTATTCATTTAGATAGAATTTGACCTAAATGTTAAAAGATCGCTGATGTTGGTTGAAATTTTCACACACAAAAGAAAACTTTGAAATGCAATCGATTTGAATAATAAGTAAGTTTAAACATATTGTTTAACAATAAATTTAACCTAATTTGGATCATTGAATATTTTTACATTTATGTATTAAATGATATTAACAGTTTATTAAATTGCTGTTAGTTCAATACTGTTTAGCAATATGTGTGGACGGTGCATGTCCTCTGGGTCATGGTGCTGCAGCAATTGATGTTATTGCTCGAGATTTCATTGGTTTCGTTGTCACTAATCACACATGTATAATGGCTGATTATGGGATCCCTCCATTGTTGAGGCTATTGCACTCACTAGTCGAGAGCGATGCTTCTAATTTGGTTCGTCAATTCGTCATATTGATCTTTCCGTTGCGAGTTATTATTTTGTCAAAGTTCGTCGGCTACTGGATACATCTTCTCATATCATAATTTGCTTCGTCCGACGCTCAACAAATTTTACTGTTCATGCTTTAGCTAATTGATCACCTGTTGAATATGATTTTGTCACCTTTATTTATGACTTTCCGAATTGTGTTTCTTCTTTCATCTTCCAAGACGTAATTATCGGTTAATTAAAGAGCATTTTCATTCAAAAAGAACTGTTTTTTGGATATTAAGAAAAAAAATTGAAAATTTAAATATAAAGGGATAAGTCAATGGAAGTATTACTCCACAAAGTCCAAACTTTTCGACCGCTTCAAAATCTCCATTCATCATCAATCTGAACATCGGTAACTGAATCCCCCAAAAAATGAATCCCTCAGATTACAGTGACCACCCGCTGCTCCCAACGATCAAGATCCACCACCCATCATCCCCTCATCACCCCACCTCCACCGTCACCCCCACCGCCGGCGCCCGCCGCAAGATCGGCGTTGCCGTCGACCTCTCCGAAGAGTCTGCTTTCGCCGTCCGTTGGGCTGTTCAGGACTACATCCGGGCCGATGATGCTGTCGTCCTCCTCCATGTGTCGCCCACCTCCGTACTCTATGGAGCTGACTGGGGCCCACTCCCCCACACCTCACAAAGCCCGGGCACGCCGCAGTCCCAGAAACAACTGGAAGACGATTTCGATGCCTTCACGGCGTCGAAGGTTGCGGATTTGGCCAAACCCTTAAAGGAAGCTGGGATTCCTTTTAAGATCCATATAGTGAAAGATCATGATATGAGGGAAAGGTTGTGCCTTGAGGTGGAAAGGTTAGGGTTGAGTGCTGTTATAATGGGGAGTCGAGGTTTTGGAGCTGAGAAAAGAGGGCGTGATGGGAAGTTGGGAAGTGTGAGTGATTATTGTGTGCATCACTGTGTTTGCCCCGTTGTCGTGGTTAGGTATCCTGAAGATAAAGAGGGCGGCAATTGCAAGGCCGCGGTGACGGTTAAGGAGGCCGACGTAGAGGAAGAAGGTGGCAAAGGTTAATCCTTTTTCGGCTTTTTCTTCTTCAATTTTATTGAAAATATGAGATCTCTGTACTTGTTTCAATGCTTAATTTGGATGATTTGCCCTTCTTTTAAATTGCTTGTGTGCTTTTATATAGTATTATCACATGATCTATACAGCAAATCCTACATACCTAGATTGTTTTTGTTGCGAATAAATGAAATATGGATTCTTGGCAATTTCTATAGATGTTTATGTCGAATGATTTTAGCATTTCTTTTTCTTGATCTATATAGCTAATCCAGCTTGTTAGAAATGTATTAGTTTCTTGCTGTCCTTGTTGCTTATATATTGTTGTGCGGATAGGATTATTTTCCTTGGTGATAACCGGATCATACATGTCACTACAAATGAGTTAGAAGTGCATAATTCATAAATGTGATAAAGTTATGTGATAGCAATTGTTACAACATAATTAAATATGTGTAAACCCTTGATAGGGATAGTTTCTCTTCCCTTGCTTTGAGCTTTGTTCTGCATGTTAGGGTATTAAATTTCGGAAACTAATTGAAATGGGGACTAGTTGTCTATAATGCAAGTGATGCTTTAATGAGCAGGATGGCATAATAAGGTAGTGCCATTTGCTTGGTGTTGGATCTTATAATAGAGGTTGCTGCGAGAATGATAATTGCCTAAATGTGATAAAGACCCTGGATAGCAGTTGCTACTATTTCTTTACCTGTTAATTCTGTGTCAATGCAAGTATGAAATGTACTGCATGAAGTTATCCTGCTCATAGAGGTTTGAATGCACAATCTTTTGATCATGGGAAATGATCAGTTTGTATTAGAAAGATGTTTTGAGTAGTTATTTGCCCACTTAAGGTGAAGCAAGTTTATACTTGAAGGCACTGGAGTATTTCTAGTGCCTTGAGGACCGCATGATCTATTGGAGCTTAAAAGGAAAGTTCTTTTTATTGGCATTTTAAAATCATTGTTACTTTAACTTGGAAAATATGGGGAGATAAATTGATATTGGCATGCTTTGTACTCTGGACAGTTTTGTTAAAGCATGCTTTCCCCCTGATATTCAGACACCTTAAGAAAGATGATGTGGCAATTAAGTGTTCGCTGGACATATTTTCTGGATGCTTCATATGTTGCTGTTGAAAAGTAGTATAGTTCCAATTCATATATGTATGTATGTATGTATAGTTCCAATGTTTTTTATAAGCAAATAGGTCTACATAGTACATACAAAGAACTAAGTAGACGTGCAAAGAACAAGAACCGTCTTTACTTGATATCATTTCCTGGTGGAAACATGTAGTAAACATGAGATTGACTGTTATGAAATCCATAGCATGTTTAACTAGCAATGCTTCCTTAGTTTCTTTTATAACTTTTGGTTTGCCGAATGAAACTTGTTTGAGTTGCTGAATTTTGAACTTACTGCAACCTTGTAAACTGACATTAGTTTTTTATGCATAATTTGTGGCAGATGCTTAGGGTAATTTCAGCTATCTTGGTGTTGGAAATATCTTCAATCTCAAGTTATACCTATCATTCTTATTTCTTTCTATCTTTTGTTATAGTGAGCTAAGAATTATCTGTCTTGAAGAGAAGTGATGAAAAGAGTCTGTCAGTTGATGGTTAAAATGGATTGATCCTAGGGTTTTCTGGTCTTTGTACAACTCTTTAACGATGGTGTTGTTGTACGGTTAACGGGGTTCTTGATTTGATTTTTATGGCACTGAACTGAAGTTATTTTGCCTGTACTTCGATACATACTATGAGATAAACCTTGTGTCAACATTTGGTTTGTGTTTCAGTGAGCTGTTTGTACTTTGAATATGATAAAACATATGAGATAAACCGATTGCAGCTCTCATGCTGTTAAACGCATACCAGGTCTAGAACACCTTCCCAAATAACTACACTCAAGCAACAAGTGAACCCCTGTTTCCGAGCGGAGGATGCAGCTGCCTTGGATACCGAGCCCTCATCTAATTGACCTATTTTGGGTAACCAATCTATCATGCATTGCTAAGCAAGCCACAAAGGAGTGCTTTGGTATGTGGAATAGGAACCATAGACCATGCTTTTGTCTACATGTTGACATTATGCAACTATATTCCTTTGCTTGCAAGAACTTTTTCCAGCTCTAGCTACTACCTGTATAAACATGCATATGCACCATCAGTGACCTACCCTTCAGCACATAGGTGTAAATCCTGGCTATCTACAATGATGCAGCCTGAATTGGTATGGCCCAAATATGTTGGATACAAATAAGAGAAAGATAAGGAAGTCAATATATGCATATATCTTTAATATTTATCTTCATTTAGGATTTCAACGTAATTCGATTTTAGATATAATCGAGATTTAAATATAATTATTACAAAATAAGATTTTATTAGAAAATCTTAAAATAAAAAAATAGAATAAAAAGTTTTCTATATCTTCGAATGAATTAAAGATGGATACAACAAATCAATCAAGTTAATCCACATGGTGTTTTGCAAGTTGATTTTCTTTTTATTATCTCTTAATTATTGCACATTTACACCTTATCCGGTAGCTTTTGAATGGAGTTTCGTTTTCTAGGCACCGTACATTTTTTTTTAAATTGCTAAAAACTATGATTAGCCACATCCAAAATGTATTCTATTCAATCTCACGTCATGTTTTCTTTTTTATATTCTATATATTTCTATTTTATTGTTAGGTTAATTGCTTTACTTTACCTATAATTTATTTTTTATTTGGAATTTCACAAATGCATTCGCAATAAAAATAATTATTTAATTTTAGAAGTATTTAAAGATTATAAATATTTTTTTATAAATACAATTATTGAACTCATTGGATTATTTATATGGTTGAGATATTACATAGTTTTATTATAAGAAAAGATTCTTTCTATCTAATTTATTTAATTAATAATATTAAATTTCAGATTTTGATTTTATTTAGAAGATTCAACATCTCACTCACTTAATTAACTAATAATTTATTAAAAAACTATAAATCTATAATGACAATATTGCATTAATCCTTTTATATGATCATCTATTGCTTTCTTATCAAGATACTTATAAAATAGATACAAATGTCTCTGAGGTCTTTGTATTTTTTTAAAAATAATATGAAATTTAATTTATTTTTACACATAATTTTACTTTCTAACTCAGTAAATAAACATAATGTGACTCTTTGATTAATATTTTATGTCGTTGATCATTACGATACAAATATAAAAACTTTGATATGAAAGTTTACAACGGAAATGTGACTCTATGTTAAGATTTTTTTTTTTCAAAATTAGATCAAACAAAATGATCAAAACTATCGACGAAACAAGAAACACAAATTTAAGAATCATATTTGAACAATTATGGGACGAAATAAAAATCAATCCATACTTGTACGAGCCAAAACGTCTATTAAGCCTTTATTTATAAAGAAACATTTGGTGGAAACAAAGGATCTATGCTTCATTTTGACACGAAAGAAGTCATAAAATGTCAAATTGTACCCATCTATCCATTACCCAAATTTTTTTTCTTTGTTTGTAGACATCAAGTGGGCACATAGAATTAATTAAAAAGTCAATTAACTAATTTTTAACAACAATTTATTAATTATATATATTTTAAATATCAATTTATTAAGTATCTATAAACACAAGTTGATCATTTTTTATTAAAATAATTATTGTATTAAAATATAACCATAAAAAGAAATTCCAACAATTTCAAAGTTGAATTAAAAATAAAAAAAGACAACAATGGCTTTTTCATGTTAAGAAAATTGAAAACATTTCCAGAAAAGAAAATAAAAGGAAATGTATGGTGTAGGTAGGATATAATAAGAGAATTTGAGGAAGGTGAAATCTAACGGCTCTGATCTCTGCTCAACCTGCAGATCCCAATGATCGTAGCCGATGCATCATTATCATCGATAATCATGTGCTTTTGAAGTTTTTTCAAAGAGCTGATGATAGCCGTTGATCTCGACTCTGTTTCACCGTCATCTTGATTAATTGCTGAATGATTAGCTTCGGCTAATCTTGGTTGCTTCAGTAGTCTTGATGAGCTCATTGATGATGATGTTTCTCCACTGGATGATCCTCTCGAGCCTACATGAGATGAGGAGCACGCAATCTCATCCTGCATTTCATAAAAAAGAAAGAAAGAAAGATCGATTTCACCATGTTAAAAAAGATGCTGTTTGGTTCCTTGGAAAATGAATGACAAAGAATTCAAAACAAACAGAAAAGTTTAAAGTTTAACCCATAAACTGGAATATTCATCTAACTTAAACATTTTCAGATTCAAAACTCAATATTGAAGACGCTAAAATTTCATGAATATGATTAAAAGGCCAAAAACAGAGCAAGGGAAACAAATCGACATACGTCAGAGCAGAAACTACGACTTCTTCTCATCCTCCTCAACTCAAAACCGGCTCTGCCACCGCCTTCAGTACTACTCAAAGAATCCGAGCTAGCCACCGGCTTCGCCATCGTGAAAGAAGAATCATCTCCTGACCACGGAACCACCTGATTCTCTGCATCTTCTTCTTCTTCGTCGTCCTCGTCATCATAATCTTCCTCTTCTTCTTCGTGATCAGCCTCCGATGACTCTTCCGGCTCCGTAGCAACATCGCAAGTATTATCGTTGTTGGCGACACAAGACTCGCAAACGGAGACAGCAGGGCTGAGGTGTTGACCGGAGGCGAGCCAGGGAGTAGGGTTTTGACAGACATGGCAGAGGAGGGTTCGGATGTGCTTAGCTATAAGGAAATTGGCTCCGTGAACATTGACGTCGCAGTCCCAACACAAGTTCGCTTGGTCCGATTCGCAGTGCATTCGAGCTAACCCCCCGCATAGTTCACACTTCCTCATTTTTTTTCTTCTCTTTGAAAAGTAAATCTAATGGATAAAATGAAATCTAAGTAAACCTTTTCGCTATTTAAATCGCGTCACGGATAGTTTTGTAATTTTAAAAATAAAATGATGATAATTTGTCACACCTTTTAAAACCTTCGTCTAAACTGTTACAATATCAAAATTAAGATCTAATGTATAGTTCATTAATTCTAATAAAATTCTTAAAAATACAAAATTATAATATATAGTTAAAAACGTGATTTTGACTGTGGAGAAGAGGAGAAGTTGGGAGCGACGTGGAAGACTATGGTGGGTGAAATATATATTTTTCTAAAACCAAGAAGATCGAAGATTGGGTTGATGACATGGCAGATTCTGCAAATCATTCCTGCGTGGACGAATCGAGACCATGGCTGTGGCCAATAGCCAAGTGAACAGCACCTGACTGATTCTCGAAATCCAATAACTGATGATGTGGCATAATGGGCGGGACCTACCTTTACGTTTATCTATGCCTTTCCATTACCCTATCTGTTCACCCTTCAGTTCTTTTTATGCTATTTGAATATTAACTTTATTTATTTATTTTAGAGGGAAAACTAATTTATACTTAAATTTTTAGCTAAGAAAACATTTTTGTGGAACTTAGGTGTGCGACATTTTGAGCGTAATTGGTTTAGAATATTTATCTAATTTATTGATTAATTATTTTAGATTACATTTTATAAAAATTTATTATAAAATAATTTTTATCTTATTTTTGATTTATAATGTTAAAATTGAAATCTATGATTATGTTTAAGAGATCTAATGATTTCTTCTGTTAGATCAATTAATAATTATATTTAATTTAAACAATTTAAATAAAACTTATCATCTTAATGCAGTTAAATTGTTAATCAAAACTGTTAAATATAATATAATTAATATAAAAAATAGGAATGCATATATTTTTAATATAAACAAAAAAATATACAAACATAATTGAAACAATGAAAAGGGGACGGCCTAAAATATATTTTGCATTATCCTATTAATAATGGGAGTATGCGATAAACCTTGGAATGTATGGGCAAGAATGGATTTGTGGGACGGGGGTGGAGCGCTCTTCACTAAGCGTATTTTAGGTAGCGAAATTTTATTTTAATTTCATCAATAAAATTTTGTTTTGCTAGTAGATTTATTAATTTACAATTCGATGATGAGGCAAACTTCACGTGAAAATACCTACGTGGCACACAATTAAAGGAAAGTGCTGGGGAATCAGTGGTCAAATGCCAAGTCGATAGTTTCTTTTACCGATAATTTGATGTGAATATATGATAATATAAAAGGTTACTTATATATATATATATATGATGTTTAAATTTAATACCTTAAGTAAGAATAACAAATCTTTTAACCTCAATTGATTCATGCGTCAAATCTATAGTTTTTTTATTATTATTAATCATATAAGTATAAAATAATATATATTCAGAAATATCTCTCACCCACACCCCTAGCATTTAGTAGGTTTGAATTTGAGACCTCAAGGAATAATAATAATTTATTTACCATCAAAATCACTTGATTTGTGCTGTCAAATCGATAGTTGATAACTACATATAGGGATATATTATATTTTCACAATATAAAAAAGATAAACCATGTATTTAATCTATCATATATTTTTACATTTTGGTTTTGGCCAATAAATTATTTATTTTAAATCATATATAACGTTACATTTTAGTCGCCATCCATTAAAAAATTAATAGAACTGATGATATGGTAAAATTTATTTTTCAATGATGACATATGACATTATCTTATGGCGATACACCAATATTACTATTAATTTTTTAATAACGGGTGACCAAAACATAATTTTAAGTATGATTTAAAAAAAATAGGTGACTAAAACATAATCATAAAAATAGGTGAATGAATAAATATGTAGTTTAACTTAAAATTTATTTGTTTTATATACAAATATAATTATTAGATGAATTTAAATGGTTAATAAAGTTTAAAATTTTATACATTAATATTATTCTTTTTAATTTTCATTTTTACAAAAGAAATAATTTTATTTGAATTTCAATCATCCATGTAAATTCAATTAATGATTATATCTTTATATATATTACCCATGAATAAATTTACAAACATTTGATACATCTACAATATAATTATTTAATTTTATAAACAAAATTAACAAATTATGTGTACTTTTAAATAATCATTAAAAAATTAAATAAATAATTTAGATTTAAAATTCTTAATCTCATCTATAAAATAAAATAATATGATAATAATTCATATAAATAAATGTGGGAAGCTAGAGATGAGGGGGTACTTTGCATGTAGACTCCCTAGTAGGAAACAACAATTTGCCCATCTTAAAAGCAAAGAGTGATGTGGTGTGACCCCCACAACAATTTTCAACGCACGCCACTTGTTTCTTCTTTTGCTCTAACAGCTTAATTTTTTTATAGTTTAATACATAAATAAATACTACTTCAATGTCTAATCCTATTATCTTCCTCTCACCATTTTTTATATTATAATTGAATAAATTAAATAAAGCAAATACAATATATTCAATGATATGTTATGTAATTTTATATTTTAATATTTTTATTATTAAAAATATAAATGTTTTTTATATTTATAATTGTAAGTCCTAGTTTTATATTATTAAAACATCAAGGAAAGTGTACGTTGAAATTAAGCAATTTAAATCATAATGAAAAATGTAATTTAATATGGGTAAAATTATAAATTCAACTTTAATAAAGCCTTTTTATATTTAAATAAAATAAAATTTTATTATAACATCAATTATAACATACTCGTAACAACAATTAATGTTATATTAATTAAGAAGCTTTAATTTATCGATGTGAGGTTGAAGTTGTATGTCTCACCGTACGTTCACGCTCTTCTGAAATGAATTGGAATTGTATGTGTTCATCTCACAGTTCTCTAGACTAATATCTTTCTTAGGCGATATTTTTTTATCCATCTTGTCCTCATTACGATACTTACATATCAATTTTACATGTATTTCTTTATGTCTCTTGTTAATTCTTATCTTATTTGAATGGCATCTTTCTTCCAATTGTTTAACTGACGCTTCATTAATTTCACAAATAGTCATATTTTCCTTGCACTAATTGATTTTGATTTCAGCTCAAAATCTGAGTGCAATGTTACATGTTTTGACTTTTGTATCGTGATTGATTTCTTGAATTATAAGTCGATCCACGTTTATTATACAAAATGTTAATGAATAACATGTGAAATGGTGATTTAGAAGGTGAGAATCTAAAAGAAAAGTTGATGATTTGGAGATTCAATTTTTTGATGTGGATAGAAAGTGACTGGGTCAATTTAAGTTTATTTTAGAAGTTATTTCTTTAAATTATGAATTCGTCTTTTATCATACGACAACTTTATTAATTACATATTCTAAGTATATGACAGTAATGATATTAAAAGAGAACAATCTTTTCATATATTGATTGTTTTGTAAAATAATAATTGTTAGAAGGTGAAAACCTAATCTTTTACCTAATCGATTTAAATATGAGTTGGACTTTGATATATATATATATATATATATATACACATGCATGCCCCATTTATATTGACTGCCAAATAATAAATGAAATAATGTACCTTCTGAATCGTCTCAATGTAAGCAATATATTACCATGCTTAGCGATCCGTTACATGCAGCGGCATGTACATCTTCAAATACTCCAATTTCTTCGATAAATATGATCAAATAATAAATTAAAAGCAAATATTAATAAAAAAAATCTTATACAAGTTAATGCTGATACGACTTCTCTTTTATGTGATAAATGAACCAGGGCAAAAATGTTCAGATAAGGGATTGAAATCCCCCCCCATATTGCAATTTTTTTTAATTGGGGAGAAATTTATAATGTTCGTAGAAGAAGATTGAATAATATGATATCTTCCGAGAAGATAATCGGATGACACAACATTTTGTATATCATCCAATAAGAGCGTAAACAAAGATTATTTGTATAAAATGTTATGTCGTGCGGCCATATTTTCCGAAATTGTCATGTAATTTTGGCATCTTCCTCGATGCTCTGTATAAAAGTTGATTGCCACTACACAGGGATATGATAAAGCTGGTTTCATCGTCTTTATCCACGTTGGTTCTAATCAAAACAAACACTACTTGTCCATGTGTATGTCCTACGTATGGGGCATGACATATAAATGAAATATAAAGCCTATTTGATCTTTCTGCAAATTCCAATACTTATCATATCTTCAATATTAATTCCTGTCCATAGCTATACAAAGTACCAGAACAAATTTAGATAACTATGGTTATAACACAATAATAGCAGCAGACATAAAGTTTTCGATTCCAAATTTTCAAAATTAAAACACGCAAAATGAATGAAAATTAAAACAGGAGAGATATCAGGGTCGGTGGTTTGGCCCAATAAATGGTACCATTCATGTTTAATTTCTACAAATTATGAAATTGTAATTTAATACAATGGTAGAATTTCACCTTGACTATCTCAGATAACAATAATTTAATTTTTAACCCCTTAAAATCTAAATACAATTTTTTTTATAAATATGAGGTGAATACAAGGTAGTATCTATTCAAAGACAACCATTTGACAAAGAGAGAGAGAGAGAGAACATCTAGAGCTAATTTGCTCATACTTTTAGTAGAGGGACCAAAATCCATCATGCCACCTAGTACAGGGATTTCTATAGTACTTTTACCTTTAGATTCTTCAAGTTTTAAAAGGAAAAAAATGAGAATACTTGATTAGATTGGATGACACAAAAGGTAAACAAACATAAAGTTTGTTATCATCTTAAGAGCTACAAAGTACAAGAAATTGCATTTGGGAGGTAATAGTACTGCTGCGATCCAAAAATAATTATGAAATGGAAAATGAAAGAAAGAGAAATAAGGAGAGGGATCCATCAATAATTATGAAATGGAAAATGAAAGAAAGTGAAATTAATGAGGAGAGCGAGACAGTTTTATCTCATTCTATTGATTAAAATAATATAATAACGGAATTTAATTATTAGGTGATTTTAGTGATGAAAAATATTATTTTTTAAAAAAAGATTTGAGTTTAAATAATTATATTTGTAGAATGTGTATTATTTATCACTAATTAAAATAAATTCTAAATAAATATTATTTTAAAACTGTTCTAAACTATTCCAAATAAAAATAATAATAATAATAATAATAGAATTACACCGTTTGAAATTCTTAAGTGAAAAATGAACTAAAAAGGACAACAGCTATGGGCTTTGGATGTTATCAATAATATCTTGCAAAGTATTAGTTTATTTCAAATTTTATCCACACATTACAAAGTATTAATTCATTTCAATTTTTTTACATGTGCTTACATGCATTAGTTATCACATATAAACGTAAAATTTTATGATAAAGATTGAACTTTTAAAATTATACGAGAGTAAAAATAAATTATTAATAAATATATAAATAAATATTTAAAATATATAATAATTTAAATTTTTTAAGAAAACGTCTACCTTAATTACATTCATGGTGGTCACTGCACTAAACCACACTTTGATAAATTTACACCTACCTTACACGTAAGTACCTGTAGTTGCCATCAACTTTAACCACACCTTGACAAATCTACATCAACCAATATATGGTAATTGTAATTGTAGGGAAGATTCAAAGATCGAAGGGGTTCTTAATTTACAATTCAAAAAATATGGTAGGTTTTTTTTTTCTTTCAAATTACCTTGATATAAAAAATATTATTGAATTATCCTTTTTTTTGTTTAAACATTCTCATCGACAACCATATCTTTAATGAGAAGACACTGAGCATCAGCTGGTGCTTACAATAACAATGTAAACCCAAGTTGCTAGTGCGTTCGGGTCGTGAAACTACATCCGCTACACTATTCACTTCTCGGCTAACATAGGAGATCTTGATCTTCCAATGGAGGTGAATAAGCTTACGAATCCTGCGGATGATTGCTGCTTCTTGCGGTTGGATTGGGGAGTTGAGTATTCTCACGACCTCATTATTATCCACCTCCATGTCCACGTGTCGGGCTCCACACTTCCATGCTAAAGCAAGTCCATCTAGCACTGCCCAAAGCTCAGCATGGAGTACCGAACACCGACCAATGTTCTTGTGGAACCCTGCAAGCCACGCTCTGTTGTTGTCACGAAGCATTCCTCCGCTGGTGATCACCCTTGTGTCTAAATTCACTGTTCTGTCTGTGTTAAGTTTCAGGACCCCAATATTAAATTATTTTTTTGAACAATTAAAAAGTAACTTACAAACATCTAAAATTTCATTCTTTTGAAACAAATTACGGTTGAGTTGAGACTTCTGATATATAATATTGTATATACCTTTCGATTATTTTTTATATGTAGTTTCTCCCACTTTTTTAAAGGGTTTGAATTTTCCTATATTAAAAAAATAAAATAAAAATGGAAAATTAAAACAAAAGAGAGGGTGTGGGAGAAGAAGATAATTTTGAGTAATGTGAAGTAAAATAAAGTTGGAATTTGAAAAAGAAAATACTGGAATTAATGATGTTAATTATTTGTTTATTATCCAAGGACATGCTTTAAGCTTGAAATTAAATATTTCAAACTTACCCAACAATTAAATTAAAAAAACCAGCAAGAAATAAGATGAAATTTATGGGGGAAGCCTAGTTTTACAAATATTATCATACATATATGCAGCACCATAATCATATATATTCTTCAACCCATTGCCTTGATCCATAATAAATATTATCATCCACCACTAACCCAGGGCTTAACCTAAACATGAGAATGCAAAACTCAATCTGGTTCAATGCCCCATCTCCATCCATATCCCCTTCACTCAACATGCAAACGATCTCATCGTCCCCCATGTCATTCAATCCCAGAATAACGCCGTTCTTCTTCAAGCTCTCGAACGTTATTAGCCCGCGCTGGCCATCCATCAGCAGCCGGAACCCGTTGCAGAGCTCGCCGATGAAACCTTCGGCGCCTAGCCGCTCCATCATCGACGGGAAGTAGTCCTCGAAATCGACAGCGATGTTGAGCTCCATTTGGGCAAACTCGGTGTTCACGACTTGATGTGATAACTTGTGGGGTAAGGAAAGTGAATAGGGAAGGTTAATGGAGGAAGAAGAAAAGAGGGGATTATATAGAGGGAGGGGGAAGAGATTAGGGTTCTTCGTGGAAAGAGTGAGTGGCCATTGAAGACAATTCAAAGTACAGATAAAAAAAAAGATAGATTTTTATGGTGGCATGTGAGCTTCTTGCACCTATCATTGGGCATTAGCTTTTTCATTAGGATTCCTGTGAAGACCCTACTTCCTGGAAGTTGCATGACATGTATAAATATTTAATACTTATGTTCATTTTTGTGTTTGTGTTTGAGCTTCTTTTCTAGCATGTCTTTATGCTATGTTAAATTTTGGCAGTTAATGAGCTCATTCCACTTTTTCAAATTATATACTGTGTAAACAAGTTTTTCAGTTGTGTTTTTGAACAAATAGCTCAATAATTTAAGTGAATTTTATTTCATTTATTTATAGCAAATTTCTTATTCATGGAATTTATAAAACGGCATATATGTTTTTTTTATCTTTCGGTTCTTTAAGGTTTTGTCATGATTAATTCGAATCGCTTCCTGTCGCATATCTAATTTTGATAGCATAGTAAATATTTTCTATATATATAAGACCTCAAACTCGAGATATAATTAAACGATATCAAATTGTTTACCATTTAAACCAACCCCGTTAATCAACAAAAAATTTTAACATAGTTCCTCCAAATTCTTAAAATAGAATTTCACCTTTTTCATATTAAAAAAACTAATTTGTAATTAGTTAAGTTTTTCTCATCTTAATTAAATTCTAATTAAATTAATTAAAGAAAAATAAAATCTTTCAAAATTATAGTCTTCATTTAAACAAATTATTTTAAAAAATCATTTTTTATTTCATTAACTTCGATTGTCGTTTCACACGTGTTTCCCATGGTATACCCTTTTTCCTTTATCAAATATTTACATTATTCATTTCTCATCTTTTTAGTCATAGGAATCTCGCAATAATTAGGATAAAACAAGCTATTGATGCTTTAGGTTATTTAAAAAATTAAATTATGACGTGACATATTTTAAGGAATTTCTTAATTTTTAATTTAAGAATAAATTATATTCTCAATTATCTAATTATAAGAAGATTTAATTTTATTATCTATCTTTTAATTTTAACAATCATACTATTTAACTGTTTAGATGACATTAATCAAATCACTTATTATTAATATTTGACAAAAGAATTAGTGGATCTGTTGATAAAATTAAAAAATAACTTTATTAATATTATGATAAAGATAAAATAATTATTTTTTTCATTTTTTTGATGTGGTAGAAAATGACAAAATAGATGATGTCAGTTTAACAATATATTATTGTTCTATCAATTTCAGATCAATTTAATAATATGTAAAAATTCAAGAATAAAATGACTATACTAATAAATTTAAAAAGCTTAAAGGGTTAATTTTTTTTATTAAGTAGAAAATTTAAATCCACACAAGGTAACACACCATGAAATTTCTCGATCACTTGATCAATTAATGGATCTAAGCTTAAATGTCATTACGGCTGTATACATTTGGTTGGAAATTAAGGATGTACATATAGTTTTGGTTGGAAACAAAGGGAATTGTTTGTTAAAGTTTGGCAATTGAGCATTTGGAATTGGATGGGGTGTTTTGTTCATCAATGTTCCTGACTGGACCTCTCGAAACAAATGTTTGCTCCTTTTAGGGACAAATAAATGTTTTGATTTTTGGAAAAAAAAATGAATTGGAAGTGATAAAATGATGTGATGCAAGTGGCACATTATTGAAATAAAAAGGAAAATGAAAACACATCCGAGGTGGTAACTTCGCATTTATTATTTCGTTTGCATTATCTAAAGACAAAGGGAAGTTTCAATGCAATTTCCTTCGAACATCTTCCCTTCCATTAAAGCCATAAACCCCCTTATATGACACTATCAATCAATAGAATTGCGTCACGTATACTAAAATACATCTGTTCTATCCAAGTACAATTAACTGTTACGAAAGCCATTAAAACAACGCAAAATAACTTGTTATTGATGTTGTCATGCAGTGGTTTCATGTTTCCAGAGCATGCAGTAAAGGGTATATTTTCAGTGAAATCTGATGTTTTCAGCTTTGGTGTGATCGTATTAGAGATGATAAGTGGAAAAAAGAACACACCAAAGCTGATCGATATATGTTTGAAGGATTTGATTATTGAATATCAAGTTCTAAGATGCATGCAGGTGGGCTTATTATGTGTTCAGAGTTTTCCTGAGGATAGGCCAACAATGTCATCTGTAAATTTTATGTTAGCAAATGGAGACTTGACTTTGCCTCTTCCGAAAGAGTCGGGTTTCTTCACCGACAAGAGTTTGGACGCAGATATAGCGGCATTGAATAATGCAGAGTTGCCTACAATAAATGCAGTAACTATAACAATGCTTGGAAGAAGATAGAAATTCCTGATTTACTTGGGGAGCTTATACATGATTGAAAAGTTGAGCACAGCATGTTTTGACAAACTAAGCTTGTTATTAATCCATGTTTCTTGTTATCAATGTTTAAGTTTCGTGGATCATAATTCTTCTATGTCATATTATTTGTGAATAAATGAATCAAAATACATTCACGATGCAGCTCATCAGGTTGTGATATTCTGTTGGATAGCAACATGAATCCCAAGATTTCAGATTTCGGAACGACTAGAATCTTTTTGGAGGGGAGGAATTACAAGCAAATACGAATCTAATCGTCGAAAATTAGTAAGTAAAGATTGAACAACCGAATCCCCCTCCCGTGATATAAACTCCATGACTGTAATTTGTGTCCCTGACTGTTTCTTTGCATTGAGTAACTGTGCACGATTATGAACAACTTTTGAGTTGAACATTCACTAGCGAATGTTGTCTTAATGCTTACCAATGAAAGCTTGATCTTACCTTCTCCTGAACAACCACCTTTCTTAAATGCAACAAGAATGGTTAAAGACAACTTGTACTTCAAATTTTAACCTCTAATAGTTTTGTTAAGCCTTGAACCAATGCTCAACCCCGTTATCATTAATTTGATCTTCAGCTACTTGATAGTCTTATTACGAATTTAGGGTCAAATCCCACAAGCTGGAGGTCTCATTCATGCACCTAGAAGAGCACCTCATTGCTGCATTAATGGCATTTGAAAAGTAAACAACTATTTTATCTAGCTTTTGCAAGGGTTTTAAAATGCTTGTCCTATTGGAAAATAGAGGTTCATGACATTAAATTTTCTGTTCAAGTTGAAAGAGAATAATGAATTTGATCAATTCAATTGAAAATTGCGTAGAAAGGAGTTGACAGTTAGTTGGCAACGCTTTGACATGATTTTTTTTCAAAACGTTTTATACTTTTCTTTCCCTTGTGAGCCTATTTTGCATCAGGATCATGCAATAATGTTCATTAAATGCATGGAAAAGTAGATACAGTCTACGTCAAATACATGTGGGAGTCAGGTACGATAATTAATTTTGATTTGTACATGTGGGTTGACATTTATTTTAACTAAATTTCTTCTTATCCCAATTCTTACAAGTTGGTACTCTTTACAGTGAACATTAATTCCAGTATAGTTTCCATTGTTGAACTTTTCAACCCCACATTTCTCAATTAAGGTCTGCTTCAATTCCGGTTGACGAATGCAGCCTATGCTTTGTTTCGAGACATTGAATTATGGAGAGAAAATCAACTGAAGGTTTTGGAATGTCCTTTTTGAGTATGCTAGTATTTGTCTTGGTAGCCTCTGCTGCAACAGATACTATTACCCCAAGCCGATCTATCATTGATAGGGAGACTTTAGTTTCAAGTGACGAAACTTTCGAGTTGGGATTCTTCAGTCCTGGTAGTTCAACAAAACGTTACCTAGGAATATGGTACAAAGTTTCTCCGGAGACTGTCGTTTGGATAGCCAATCGAGAGGCTCCTCTTCTCGATCGTTTTGGAGTTTTAAATGTCACCAAGGAAGGTACTATCATTCTCCTGCAGGAGAAAACTAAGATTATTTGGTCATCAAGTAGAATAAGAACACCTGAAAATCCAGTTATGCAGCTCTTGGACTCCGGAAATCTTATCGTAAAAGACGGAAATGGCAGTGGCTCAGCAAACTTCTTATGGCAAAGTTTTGATTATCCTTGTGATACCTTACTTCCAATGATGAAGCTTGGGAAGAATTTCATTACTGGCATGAACTGGTCACTATCATCTTGGAAGAGCCCCAATGATCCTGCTCCAGGCCAGTTTTTGGCCTTGATAGATCCCAAGGGGTTTCCGCAGCTAGTTGTGAGGAATGGAAGTGGAATACTTTACAGAGGAGGGTCATGGAACGGGGAACGTTTTACGGGGACTCCCGATCTAAAACAAATCGAATCAGCTAATTTATTCAAGTTTGAATTCGAGTTAAATAGGAATGAGGTGTACTACAAAGGTGAGCCCTATCCTGCATTGATTTCAAGGTTGTCCGTGAATCAATCTGGCTTTTTGGAGCGGTATGTGAGAACGAAACAATCGGAGTTGTGGATGGAGATCTATTCTGCTCCTCGAGATGAATGCGACTATTATGCAGTATGTGGTGCATATGCTAGCTGCAACACAAATAACCCTGCTGAATTGTGTGCTTGTTTGGCTGGATTTGAACCAAAGTATCCGACAGAGTGGGATCGTTTGAAATGGTCTGGCGGATGCATTCGAATGACTACACCGGCTTGCCAAGATTCCGTCTTTACAAAGCATAATGGGTTGAAATTGCCTGACACATCAAATTCTTCTTTCTTCAAAAACATGAGCCTTAAAGAATGCCAAGTAGAGTGCTCAAAGAACTGCTCTTGCACGGCCTATGCAAATTCAGATATCAGAAATGGAGGGATGGGATGCTTGCTTTGGTTCGGTGACCTTATCGATATGAGAATATACATTGACGGTGGGCAAGACCTCTACATACGGATGGCCAATACAACTTCAGGCATCATCTCGAATTTAAAACTGATAACTGTTTTCTGATCTTTTCAAGAAGCTAATTGTTTACTTACACTTTCGATGTTTCAGGCCGCCTTGTCGTAAGAAAAAACTCAAGTAAAAACAAGGAAGTGGCAATTATTGTCATCCCAATAGCAATAATTGGACTGGTTTGGGGAGGAATTGTCTTATACTTGAGATGGAAGAAACATACAAAGCAAGGTAGTATCTTTACGGACTAATGTTTTTCGATTACTAGATATGAAGCTCTACTGATTTTTGGTACAAATTCATTACTTTTTTATCATTTGGTTTTGATAATAGAGATTTTATTTCATGTTTCTTAATGCTTACCGTTGAAGGTGGAGAGAATGATATGGAGTTACCAGTATTTGATCTAGGCACTATTGTGAAAGCCACTGATAACTTCTCAGACAATAATAAGCTAGGACAAGGTGGATTTGGACCTGTTTACAAGGTAAATTTAAGAAAATGGTATCCGAATTAGCTATCCATTTTTCCTGAGACGAAAAAAATGAATGTTAAGTCTTTCAAATGATTTTTTCAGGGTACATTGCGTGAAGGGCAAGAAATAGCAGTAAAGCGACTTTCGAAAAGTTCTGGTCAAGGATCGGAAGAGTTTAAAAATGAAGTCGGATTGATCGCGAAGCTACAGCATCGCAACCTTGTGAGGCTTCTCGGTTGTAGCGTTCAAGGAGATGAAAAGATGTTAATCTATGAGTACATGCCAAACAAAAGCTTGGACTACTTTATTTTCGGTCTGATCCTCGAACGGCCTCTTAGAAAAACAATATTTTGCTGCAGATTTAATCAGTCAATGCACTAATGTTTGTGTTGGTGAAACAATTAATCAGATCAAACAAAAGGCAAAATACTAGACTGGAGAAGGCGAATGCATATCATCGACGGGATTGCTCGAGGACTTCTTTATCTTCATCAAGACTCTAGACTAAGGATTATTCATAGAGATCTCAAAGCCAGCAATGTCTTACTAGACAATGATATGTGCCCCAAGATTTCAGATTTTGGCATGGCAAGAACAATTTGGGGTGATCAAACTGAGGCGAACACGAACAAAGTTGTTGGAACCTAGTAAGTTGTGCAAACATACTCTTGTTCTCTTAAGTACCTTACCATGTTATAAATTTGTTTTTGACTTCATTTTTCAGTGGTTATATGCCTCCTGAGTATGCTGTAGATGGACTATTTTCGATAAAATCCGATGTATTTAGCTTCGGTGTGTTAGTACTCGAGATCATAAGCGGGAAGAAGAACAGAGGATTCTTCCACCCAGAACACAGCCATAATCTTGTTGGACATGTAAGAAGGAAGAACAAAACATTATTAATTACCATGTCAGCTGTTGATTAATAGATATTTGACATGCTGATTCTAATGTTTTCAGGCATGGAAACTGTTGATGCAAGAGAAGCCATTGCAGTTTGTTGACTGTAACTTGGGAGATTGTTTTGTGTTATGCGAAGTTATAAGATGCATTCATGTGGGTCTTTTATGTGTTCAAAAGCGACCGGAGGATAGACCGAACATGTCGTCCGTGGTTCTGATGTTAGGTAGCGAGAATCCATTACCTCAACCGAAACAGCCCGGTTTTTTCACCGAAAGGAATCTGCCTGAATCAGAGTCTTACTCATCAACCCACCATGAATTGGCTTCTGTAAATGGAGTTACCATTTCGTGTTTAGAGGCACGATAGAAAACACGAAATAGCCTTCAAATTCAATGGTATAATTATTCACCTTGTCTGTAGTAAGACTTATTGTGCTTTCTGTATTACTTATCGTGCAAGCAAGCAGGTTTGTATGTATAAAATAACTGAACTTACCATATGATGGGTTCAATATATGGAATTTTCTTGGCAATGCAGTAATATTATAATGTTTTTTCCCCTAAGAAGTAGCTAGTTTTATTAAAAAGTAGGAAATATCCAAAATTACAAATGAAAAATTACAACCATAGTCGTAAACCAAACAAGTAATCAAGACATTTTATTGTGACCACTGACACAAGAAACTAGTCACTTAATATGAACAAACAATAAACCAGAGGGGTTCTTTATCTTCATCATGACTCTAGGTTGAGGATTATCCATAGAGATCTCAAAGCAAGCAATATTTGGCTAGATAATAACATGAACCCGAAGATTTCGGATTTCGGTCTGCCTAGGAAGTTCGGAGTAGATCAGGTTCAGGCCAATACTAGAAGAGTAGTTGAAAACATTGTATGTATATGAGCAAGACTTGTCCGCTACATTGTTTCATGTTTCTTTTATTGTTCTTGTCGCGACCGTCTTTCGGGTGGACCCGTAATTGGGCTTCGACTTGGATTAAATGTGGTTAGAGTCGCCACCGATCACTTTAAAACGATTTTAGGTAGATCGGACACCATCTTACCTGATCTGCGTTTTACCATAAATGTGTCTGGTTCGGGAGTCGGTTACGGTCAATGAAGGATTAACACCCTTGAACTGCCCTTTCGGTACCAATTAATTTATCGGTTGTCTTTAATTGCGAAAATTAAAATTTAAATTGAAATTTTAAAAATTCAACACAAACTAATTAACTTTGATCGATTGAAATTATCCTAAAAAATATCAAATTACTGTTAAATAATAGGATAAAATAAAAAAATGAGAAAAAATTAAATAAAAAGAAGAAGAGATTAATGATTAAATTAAAGTTAATTTGAAAAGTTAAGGTACCAATTTAAAGTAAACAAAGATGCTTTTTAATTAAATAGAACACTGCACATTCAAACAATTAAATAGCATTGGTCTACCGCCATTATTGAAATGCTTACAAGCTGCACTCATTTTATCCAAAACAAGATGCCAAATGGAAGGCAATATAAAACCCAATGTGGAGATTCAGGTTCAAAAGTTGGCATATGTCAATGCCAAGATGATTTCTGGAGGCAAGTTTTAGCATGAAAACAACTAATAAAGTGGCTTGGAAACAATAACAGGCCTCCTACTTTGATATCACATTTTTATCTTTTACAAAGGCAAAGAAAATCCCAGAGTATCCTACAAATGCATATTGCGTTTCTACTCTCAAAAATAGAACAAATGCAAATCCATGGATTAAACACGCGCATATACAAATTGCAAAGTATCAGTTAACTCCTCATTAATCAAAAAAATTAGGAAAATATAATACTCACAGCCTTGTGTAATTTCTTGATCAGAGCCATTGGTTTCCTCTTCAAACCTCTCTGAAACCTTCAGCCATCACTATGGGGTCTCTTCGTCGGGAGAAGAGAATGGAGTGGTCGGTGGCCTCGTGTATCAGCTGCGGCCAATAGGTCGGAGACAACTAATATATTTTGGATCGAAGATGCGCCACCGGCTGTTTTTGAGTTAGCAAATGCTGACTGTCGATTATCTAGCGACCATCATGCTTAACGCGTTGCTTGTGTGCTGCGTCAGAGTCCAGAACGCCAACGTTTTGTTCACCGACTGGTAGCAAAGGGCGACGCTGCTCCATGTCCTTGATCTTGTCGCGCGTCAAGCCGTTGATGTGGAGTTGATGCGGTGATCCGAGTTGGGAAGGAGCTTGAGGCTTGATGGATGGTATGTAATTGCTATAGTCATTACTACCATTGAGATTCCTGCTTAGTGTTGGAGTCGCTGATTTTGTTAATCTCAGAATCAGAACTAAAATCTTCCTTCTCATTTCCACTGCTGTTTGTATCAATCTGGACATCAAAGAATTCAAGTCCGAGTCGATCATCCGTCGTGGCGGGTCCATCAACATTGATATTCCTATCATCATCGACGTCGACGACGATGTCTTTGATTTGCTAAAGCGTAGTGACATCGCACCCCTGGGGTTCCTTGCAGTTGGATTCTGACGTAACCATGGGGAGCTCGGGTGTAAAACTGGAAAAGGAAAAAATTGAGAGCAGAGGAAGAGAGAAGAGAGACAAAGAAATTTGAGCCTAGCGAGCGTGAGACCAACGCCAATTAAATGTTGGAATGGAATTGCCATTTGCTGCTGAAAAATGGAAAGTGGAAACCATGGAAGAGAAATAAGGCAAAGGGAGAGAACCCCACGCCCACTGTCCCCCCTCCATTTTGCTTTCTGATGGCCCCTTTAAAAAGCAAAAGAGAAGATGGTATTTTGTTTTTTAGTTAGTGGGGTAGTGTTTGTGACAAACGTGAAAATGGAGTAGTGGGTTGGTAAACATGGGCCTGAAAAAAAATATTAATAATAATAATAATAATAAATAATAATATTAAACCCGAATAAAAATGGGTGTCTGCCGTTTTAATTTTACATTTTCTCTTGAGGCGATTATAAGTCACCTGAGTATGCCTTGGAAGAACTTTTCTCAATGAAATCTGATGTCTTTAGCTTCGGCGTTTTGCTCAAAAAAGCAACTTTTCCACTTTATTTCTGTTTTCACGTTTCTTTTTCAACCATTTATCTGATCATACACGTGGGTATTTTTGGTTGGGTAATGCCAATGAAACTTGGCTATTGTCGATTCAAGAAACAACGGAGAACTTGGAAAAAGATACAGCCAAAGAGTAGGATAGTTTGACTGTTCTAACTCCAACTCCTTGCATCAATTATCTTTAAAATGAAATTTCAGTTATTAGCAAACAAAATGGAAGCCTTCTTAATGGTGCTTGTTCTGTGTTTGTTTCACTTCTTTATTACTACAGCTTTGGCACTCAACACTATAAGTGCAGGGCAGTCCATTAAAGACGGTGAAACTCTTGTGTCCGCTGGTGGAACCTTTGAGCTCGGATTTTTCAGTCCCGAAAATTCCAAGAGTCGATATCTGGGAATTTGGTACAAGAAAATATCAACCGGGACTGTCGTGTGGGTAGCCAATAGGGAAGCTTCAGTTTCTGATGCCTCGGGAGTTCTAAGTATCAATAATAGAGGAGTTCTTTCAATTATGAATGGCACCGAAGGCGTTGTTTGGTCTTCTAATACATCAAGAAATGCAGCAAAGGAGCCGGTTGCACAACTCCTGGATTCGGGAAATTTTGTAGTTAAAGATGGATATGATAGTGATCCGGAAAGCTTTCTTTGGCAAAGTTTTGATTATCCTTGTGATACCTTTCTACCAGGTATGAAGCTCGGAAGAAACTTCGTCACCGGTTTCGACAGGCATCTATCATCCTGGAAAAGTGAGGAAGATCCTGCTCCAGGCCAATATACTATGAGGATTGATCCTCGTGGGGTGCCACAGTTTGTTCTTAAGAAGGGACCTGCAATACTGTTTAGAGCAGGATCATGGAATGGTGTTTATTTTTCAGGAAGATCTGTGACTGAACCTAATCCAGTATATTCTTATGAGTTTGTCTTGAACAAGAATGAGGTCTCTTACAAATATGAGACTCGAAACAGTTTGATCTTTTCCAGGTACTTACTAAATCCATCAGGTCTAGTACACCGCTCCATATGGAACGAGAGAAAACATGACTGGGAGGTTTTCTCTGCAGCACAAGCGGACCAGTGTTCGATCTATGCCCGTTGTGGATCATATGCTACCTGCAACACAGTTGAAACTCCTCCATGTAAATGCTTGGAAGGGTTCAAGAGAAGATCAGCATCTTCCCCGGATTTAAGCTCAGTGGATTGGTCAGATGGATGTACTCGAAGGACGCCATTGGCATGTGATGGTGGAGATAGCTTTCTCAAGCAAACTGGACTGAAAATACCGGACACTTCGAAATCTTGGGCAGATATTAGCATTGATCTTAAGGACTGTGAGAAATTATGTTTAAAGAATTGCTCTTGCACTGCCTATGCTAATTTAGATATCCGAGAGGGAGGCCATGGCTGCTTGCTGTGGTTTGGAGACCTAACCGACATGTTGGAATTCAATGAGGGTGGACAAGACCTTTATATCAGGCTGGCCGCTTCTAATCTAAGTAATGTTCTCTCTTTGTTTTCCATTTAGACTGATCAATGAAATAGGCCAAAAACATTTGGTAGAGGTGTTCAAACTTCAAACCATTTTTTTGACTGATAATTCGTTGATTCTTTCAGATCATATTCAAAGCAAAGGAAAGCTAACAGAAAAGCAAAAGGCTGGAATCATAGTCGCCTCTGTCATAATAGCCAGCGGAGTAACGATGCTAGCATTGGCGTTGTATGTTTGGAAGATAAAGCGTAGGAAAACAGGTACACAAATTCAGTTTTATAATCATTGTCAATGCATCTCATACTAACTCAATGACAACCAGGTGAACATGGAAAGGAAGATTTTGAGTTGCCTGTATTGGAGTTTGCAACCGTAGCTATAGCAACTAATAATTTCTCGAGGAACAACAAGCTGGGACAAGGCGGCTTCGGTCCTGTTTACAAGGTAAGTAAGCTCTATTTTCTGAATTATATTTCACTCAGTATTCAAACATTTTCAACATTATAAATTCAAGGGTACATTGATCGAGGGGCAAGAAATAGCAGTCAAGAGACTTTCAAAGAATTCGGGACAAGGACTCGAAGAGTTTAAAAATGAAGTAACCTTGATTGCTAAACTTCAGCATCGCAATCTTGTAAAGCTCTTTGGCTGCTGCATCAGGAAAGATGAAAGGATGTTGATTTACGAGTATATGCCTAACAAAAGTTTGGACTACTTTATTTTCGGTTTGAACCTACTGTCTCAGCACTTGTTTGGGCTACTTCATTTTCGACCACCGTGCCTGGTCTTGTGTCATTCATTTTTTTGGTTGCAGCTAAAACGAGAAGCAAACTACTGGACTGGCATAGCCGAATGCATATCGTCGATGGAATTGCTAGAGGGATTCTTTACATTCATCATGACTCTAGGTTGAGGATCATCCATAGAGATCTCAAAGCAAGCAACATTTTGCTTGATAGTAACATGAACCCAAAGATTTCGGATTTCGGTTTGGCTAGGAAGTTTGGAGTGGATCAGACTCAGGCCAATACTAAAAGAGTTGTTGGAACTTAGTATGTATATACATAAGCAAGATTTTTCTGGTGCATTATTCCATGTTGCCTTTAAACTTACAATCTAACATTTTCTCTTGCAGCGGTTATATGTCACCTGAGTATGTCTTGGACGGGCTTTTCTCAATGAAATCCGATGTCTTCAGCTTTGGAGTTTTGGTTCTGGAGATAATAGCAGGAAAGAAAAATAGGGGATTTTCCCACCCGGAACATGACCATAATCTTCTTGGACACGTAAGACATCAAGACGGAACTATAACAGTTTGTTTATTTCTCTGTTTCGAACATTAATATATCATTTGTGGTTCCAACTTTTCAGGCATGGAGATTGTGGATGGAAAAGAGGCCATTAGAACTACTCGACACCGGGTTGGTTGACTCCTACGATGAAACCGAAGTGCTAAGATGCATCAATGTAGCTCTCTTATGCGTGCAACAATGCCCCGCAGACAGACCAAACATGTCATTAGTGCTGCTAATGTTGTGCGGAGAGAGTATACTGCCCCAACCAAAGCAGCCTGGGTTTTTCATCGAAAGAAACATTCTTACGGCTGACGCTGATGAAATATACTCAATAAATGAGTCTACTATTACATCATTAATGCCACGATAGATGCTTCCCAGATGCCTTGAAAAAAAGTTATATAACTTTTTAAATTTTCTGCTTGTATTGTCTGCAACAGTGCTTCTATATTGCTCAGAAGTCAAGAGTAGTTTGGCATTGAAAAATATCACCAAATAAAGCCACTTTAAAATTATCCTGTGAAGGGGAAGTTGACAAATTAGACCAAGCAGAAGAAGACGAGTCTTTAGTCCACAATGTTGAAAACTGAAATTTCAGGATAGCCTTGTTGTCAACCTTTATGTATATATATTTCAGCTTGTTTTCCTTCATTTACTTGTAGATGTACTTGTTAATACAACAACTCCAGCTCCACCAAACTGACCTGTTTATGATATCAAGTTTTCCAAGTCAACCCATTCACACGTACATTCAAGCCTGAGATCCAAATGACTACCAGGGTGTTTCACTTTTATACTTGGAAAATCAATGGGCGGCTCTAAATGGACATTCGCTACCGTTGTTTGGATTGTCAATAGTTCTAAGTGTTAGCGGGAGGATCCTTGGAATGGTCTTTATTTTACGATGAACCCTCATCTCGAACAAAATCCAGTATTTTCATATGACTGTGTCTTGAATAGCATGGAGGTCTATTGTGAATACAAGAACCGGGACAGTTTGTTTGTTTCAAGGCTTCAACTGGATCCACTAGGTGCTATACGGCATTTGATATGGAACAAGAGAAAACAGGATTGGGAGATTTTCTCAACGGCTCTGTCAGACCAGTGTGCAATATATGCCTTTTGTGGACCATATGCTACCTGCACAACCAATAAGTCTCCTCCTTGTGCATGCCTTGAAGGCTATGTGGCAAAAGTGATTACTTCTGGAGATCCGGGTTCTGTAGATTGGTCTGATGGATGTATTAGGATGACATCCTTGAATTGTGATGGTAAAGATAGTTATTTAAGCACAGCGACCTAAAATTGCCTGATACGTCACATGGTTGAGCTAACAATGGCATGAGCCTCTCTGAATGTGAGGAACTATGTTTGACAAATTGCTCTAGCACAGCTTATGCAACTTAAGATATTTTGAAAGGAACAGGGTGCTTGATCTTGTTTACTGATCTGATTGACATGACAAAGCGTGGTTACATTGATCGTGAAACTTCAGCGTTGGAATCTTGTGTAACGTTTAGGTTGTTGCATTAAGGGAGATGAAAGGACGTTAATCTATGAACACATGACCAACAAAAGTTTGAACTGTTTTATTTTTGGTTTGAACTCACTAATATGTAATGCTTTTTAATCCGGTGATTCAACTGACCGAGTAAGGCATATATATATCATGTATAATTAAAACAGTGCAGATAGAACAAGAAACAAAGAACTCGACTGGCATAGACGAATGAACATCGTCGAGGGAATTGCTCGAGGGCTTCTTTATCTTCACCATGACTTGATATTGAGGATTATACGTACAGATCTCAAAGCAAGTAATATTCTACTAGATAATAGTTTGAATCTGAAGACTTTAGTACTTGATAAATTATTCTCCATGTTGCTTCTAAAGTTCTCATTTTCAGCATCAATTCCCAGTGGTTATATGTCTCCAGAGTATGCTTTTCGTGGACATTTCTCAACGAAATCTGACGTCTTCAGTTTCGGAGTATTGATTCTGGAGGTTGTAACAGGGAAGCAAAACAGTGGATGTTCGGACTTGAATCACAACCACAATCTGCTTGCACATGTAAGAGAGGAGACATAATGTTTTAATTGACATTCTTGGACATAATGCATCAGGGGGTTCTTACAACGTAGCTGAAGCGCTGAGATGCATCAGTGTTGCTCTTTTATGTGTTCGACAATGACCCGAAGATAGGCCAAACATGTCATTGGTGGTGCTGATGTTGTGCGGCGAGAGTTCATTGGCTCATCCAAAGCAGCCTGGTTTTTTCTTGGAAAGGCCTCTGTCTCAAGCCGAGTCTGCGGGTATGCAGGCAAGAATCATTAGATGAATCGACCATTACTGCGTTAGAGCCTCGATAGAATCTCATCATGTTTTAGAAGATTCTTTGGCATCAATTTCATAGGACTTAAAGTACAAAATGATAATATTCTTGATTATATTCTATTTATGAAAATCAATGAGATTGTCTAATGTCTAGGTACCATCCATAGTTCAATGTCAGTCATATATATACTTTACAATGAAAACCATCATATCGAAGAGATGAGACATACCGAAAAAAGTAAAAGAAAAGAACACAACGGTTACATGAAATCTTCATTATCTTGCCTCAACTACTGTGATTACAAAATCATTGGAACAAGCAGGTCTTTGAACATCTGATGAAGAAGTATCTTTAACCAGATCTCTCTCGTTGAAAAATCCAGGTTGTTTAGGCTGATCCAATGGAACTTCACTACTTAACATCAGAAAAACATTTGATATGGTTGGTCTATCTTCAAGACTTCGTTGCACACATAGTAGGCCGACCTGAATCGATCTTAGAACTTCCGAGGGATTGCAGGTCCTTTTAATTGTATCAGCAACCAGTTCCATTGAATTCCCATCGTAGAACAGTCTCCATGCCTATACAAATAAAGCTGTTTTAACATCTACAGAACATCTTTGATATAAGGAGTTTTACACTTTGACACTTACATGTCCGAGAAGGTTATGTTGATGGTCTGGATGAAAGAATCCTCTATTTCTTTTTCCACTGACTATTTCTAAAACTAAAACACCAAAGGCGAAAACATCGGATTTGATCGAGTAAAGTCCATCAATTGCATACTCTGGAGACATGTAACCACTGAAAAAAGAAATCCCTGAACTATAAGACAACAAGCTTCAAAGTTTACGAGTTTTAAACTATGGTATTTCAGTTTTGTATATCACTACTTACTATGTTCCCACCACTTTCTTTGTGTTTGCTGTGGTTTCCTTTTCTCCGAAACTTCTAGCCAAGCCGAAGTCCGAAATTTTCGGATTCATTTCACAGTCTAATAACACATTAGCAGCTTTCAGATCTATATGTATTATTCTCTGTCTCGAATCTTGGTGAAGATAAAGGATCCCTCGAGCGATCCCGTTGATAACTTGGTAGCGTGTTGCCCAATCTAGTGACATGCTTTGAGTTTTATCTTCTCAAAAGCCATTTTTATTGCTTGTTACGACTTTGAATATAGTTAACAGGGAGATTGATACAAGATTATAAGCAAATGAACTTCATGGATCAGCTAAAAGACATACCAAAGATAAAGAAGCCCAGGCTTTTGTTGGGCAAGTATTCATAGATTAACATCTTTTCATCTGCTTCAATACAACATCCACGGAGCCTCACTAAATTCCTGTGCTGAACCTTCGCGATATGTTTAACTTTGTTCACGAATTCAGTATTTCCTTGTTTCGAACTCGATGACAACCTCTTCACGGCAATCTCTTGTCCGTCTTTCAAAACACCCTAAAGAAAAGCATACAATCATTAATCCAGGTCGTTTTATCATATAGTATTCTGTATGGTATTTTATCATATAGTTCACCTTTTAGACACATCCAAAACCTCCTTCTCCAAGTATATTCTTGAATGAGAAGTTATTGTTGCAGCAGTAATAGCTCATAAATCAAACAATGGTAAATCTAGATCTTCTTTGCTACTTTGACAATCAGAAAAGCTATCTGAGTGGTGGTGTGTCAGCAATCCTGTGAAATAGCAAAGTTGTAACATAGAAAAACTTCCTATAACATTTGTTAATGAATCCGGAAATGAAATGATTGTTTTACCCTTCAGCTTTTTCTTCCTTCGCATAAACAAGACTACGGTTAGGACCGCAATCACCACTCCTGCAGACAGTGCAGACACTGTCGCGATGATCCTTGTTCTGTTATTCGCGTTTGCTGCGTGTGGTGTGCTCTCCTGTGGAGCTGTATGGAAAGAAAATAGCATAAAATCAATGAAACAAGAACAAGGAAATCCAATATTTAAAAAAAACATGTGTAAAATGCTTCCAAGTTTCAAGGATTAAGGATATTTTCATACCTAGTTCTGATGCAGCAACCTTCACATATACATCTTGACTGCTGTTCGTTATATATATCATATCGATAAGATCGGTAAACCATAGCAAGCACCCGCTTCCTCCATTTGTAATGTCCAAACTAGTATAAGCTGTGCACCAACAATTAGACGAACACAGGTCCTTGCACTCCTGTAAGTTCATACTGGCATTATACCATGAATGTTTTGTTTCCGGCACTTTTACATCGGGGACTCTTACATATCCGTCACCGGAACAGTTTAGTGGAGTGTTTCTCCCGCAACCACCTGACCCTGGTACTGCATCCCATTCCTGGGGATTGTTTGGTGAAAAGCCTGTCAAGCAACTACAAGCAGGGGACTTCTTGTTGTCACATATGCCATTAGCACCACACAATGCATATCGGTCGCAGTTTTCGACCAAAAAATGGAAGATTTGGAATCCAACCTCGATTCGGATCATTCCACGTGAAGGGAAATATGGATCCATTGTCACCAGTTAGCACTCCCCTTAAAAGAGTTGAACTGTTGTGTGGATTAAACGTTAGAGATAGCCAAGGCCGGCCCAATACATGTGCCAGATGGGCGACGGCCCAGGGCAGCATGTAGGGGCATCAGTAGAATTGATACGCACTCAGCCATTGATGACAACTGTAGCGAATGGGCGGCCTTTGTAATCCTCACCTCCTTTCTGTAGGTTATTCCCAGCATGTAGGGGCAACGAGTCCAGGCCAGATCCGAAGTCTTTTCCAAGCTTCATGCCTGCAATGAATGTATCACATGGATAATCAAAACTTTGCCCAATGAAGTTCCCTGAACCCGTGTCGCCAGTTCCATCTGTAACGACAAGATTTCCCGAGTCCAAGAGCTGCACGACCGGACTACCGACGGGCCTCAAAGGCAAATCCAAAGCATTGGAATACCAAACACTGTTACTATTACCATCCACAAGGATAAGAACTCCCTGATTGGTAACATGTAAGACACCTGAGCTGTCATTGAGAGGCGTTTCCCTATTAGCCACCCACGGAACCGTCGTGTTGGAATTCATATACCATAGTCCCAAGTACCTTTCCTTTTGGTTCTGGAACCAGCGCTAAAGAATCCGAGTTCGAAGATTCTACCTTCCGAAACTAAGGTGTCACCATCTCTGATCGAACTAGTCGAATTTAAGCTTTCCACCGTAATCGATAGTGTAACATGAGGCCACCACAAAAGGAGAGTGCAAAAAGAGAAACGAAATAAAGCTTGCCATTGATGAGATCAGAAAACTTTGAAGAGGTTTGAAGATCACATTCCTTATAATCACACCTTCCCGTTAAAGAAAACAAAAACCTCCATAATGTCAAACTTGAAACCTCAGCTCTAACGAGCCTTTTTTCTGACCGGTGCCACAAATACTCAGTATGCAAGAACTATAATCTAAAATAATAATGAAGCGTCAGCAATTATTTTCTTTCCGAGAATCTGGATTGCAAGTTCCCTTTGCAGGCAGGCTTTAATATTAGTAAAATTTTGTAGAAACCTGTTGCTGCTACAAGTACAACTGTTAGCTTTGGCAAATACAAATAAAAAAAATAATCGATTCAACCTGAGAATTAGTCCATGTTACTTCAAAACTATTATATATCATTATCAACCTTACCCTTATCTTTTAACGCCGGTCTTCTCCGGATTTTGAGCTTAACAGATTGTATTTTTTTCGTGTAACGAAAATATCTTCTATATATCTGTTTTACTGTTCATAAAATTAATATAATTTGTCTCTCTTAATAATATCATCTTCAACGTTTAAACTTAAGTTCTACCTCGGAAAATTTGTTAAAATAATGTCGAGTCTGGATTCTATACCTGATATTCATAAACTGGAACTTTTAAAGAATAGTATGTAGTTTCAGGGATTACGTGGAAATATGTAAATGAATCCACTTCTAGCATGTTCATACTTTGAAAGATTTCTTCAAAGATGACTTTGAATATCTTTTTTTTTTTTACCAGTAACAGGGTCAAACTGAGGTGGGGTTTTTGATGAACTCGGCATTTGTTTTCTATTAGTTTACCGTTCCAATTCTACCAGCTTGAGATTGTGAAAGGTTGAAACTCGGCATTTGTTTTTTTTACTCTGACAATTCTAGTAACTTGATATTAACCAACCAAAGACCAACTGTAAATTGAAAGGTGTGATTAAAGAAACAATAAAATAGTTAATTGGAAAAAGAATGGTGATGATCTCTCGTTTTCCATCATGCGAGAATCGAAACTTCACACGGAAAAGTGTTTAAACTATACCGAATATTAATGTTAAGTGTCTAATTTCTTCTTCACTTAAAATATGTCTAATGTTTCAGACGTTACTCTTTTAAGTGCTTACTGTCGATAAAATTCTTATTATCTGATACGTCTCATTTATAATTTTTTTTAAAAATATTTTCTTAAAAAACAGTTGAAATATTATTTAACAAAAATCCATTTTTTCCTGAAGTTATAAAAAAAACTTCATAATTCTTAAATTTTTTTATTTCAATCCCTTCATTACTACCGACCACTACCAACTGACCGAAATTCCAATGGCGTGAACAACCGAACACTCAACGGTCGAAACTTTTTCCTCTAACCCCTGATTACAATAACCAATTGATGATTGTAGTGTAGAGAAATCCTTTCGGTCGATCGAGAAATCTTACATCTACACGGCGTTGTGTGTTTAGTCTATCGTGAAAGTAAGGGGTTTCGACGGTTGGGTGATTGACCGGTTGTACAATGTTTGACGGTCGGGTGTTTGACTGACGATGTTAAGATATTGAAATTAGAGTTTTAAGAGTTTTTTTTTTAATTTTATAAAATTTTAGTTTTTTAAAAATTATAATTTTAGGTTTTTAAAATTGTATAGACGTGAAACATATCAGTTAATAATCTTTTTTAGGGTCATGAATGACCAAACATATAAAAAGGTCAGAAACAGTAGACACTCGCGAAAAATTCTTTAAACATCTAAAATTAATAAATGATATAATTGAAACACTTATTTTTACATTAATCCTTATATTAATTATGTATCTATTTCAATACTATTTATCTTATTTAAGATATACTGTATAAGATTTTAAGTTTTTAGAACTTGATCTTAAATTTTAAGATTTAGTATTAAAATAAGTAGGATTGTGTTCGTGTCAAAAAAAAAAAGTAGGATTGCGTTAAATGTAGACTAAATTTTACAGTGCCCTCAAATCAAATAATTTGACTTTAACTAAATCATACTGATTATTTTAAGAGATATTCATAGAGAAAATATTATAATTTTATGAATGACTATTTGGAAGAATATTAAACAGTTTTCTTATCTAACAATCTCTTTATGCTTCAAGCTTAAGTATCCTTTCTTGAGAAGGACTTTCCTTTAGAAGATTGTATTGTCTTAGAGAATACTAAGGGTGTGTTTGGTTCACGGAATGTAAAATTACCGACGAGAATAAGATTACCGGCGGGAATAAGATTACTGGAAATGTTGTATTTTTGTGTTTGATTCGTTTAACAGGAATGTAAGATTAGAGTTGTTGTTTAAAGGAATAAAATATTATTGAAATGTATATTTTACTAAATTGTCCTTATTATATATATATATATATATATATATATATATATATATATATATATATATATATATATATATATATATATATATATATATTAACAAGTTGAATTCTACTATAATTTTACTATAATTAATTTATATATTTTCTTTAAAAATTTTAAATTCATATAATTTTTTTTACAAAATTGAAAATATAAATAGGTTTAATGAAAGGGTAAAATTTTATTTTAACCCCTAAACTTCATATAAAATTCTAATTATGAACTTTTTTTGTAAATCTAAAATAGTTTAAGGACAAATTTACAATTTAACCTTCATAGAATTTTTTTATTTAACGACAGAAGAATTATATTTTTGAAAAAAAAATTAAGGGTATTTTAGTCCAAAACACAGGGAATGTAACAATACCTAAGGGAAGGGGGCCGTTAATATACTCCCAAAATACCACTATTGGGAATAAAGGATTACCGGGGTTGGAAATATTTGCGAACCAAATGGGACATTCCATTCCCACGGTAATCCAAGATTACCTGAATCAAACGCCCTCTTAGAGTGTTGTAAAAATATTATGAAAGTGTCGTAAAGAATTGCTTTTAAAAGTATCATTGGAAAGTGTAATTTAAAATTTAATTGTTTGAGATTGGTGTTAAAAATAATTTTAAAAAGACAAAATACTCATTTTAGAAATTATGTTGTAAATTGAAAATATAGTATATGAGGATAAAAATATAATTTCTCCCAAAATTGATTTTTCACAGTAAAAACTAGAAATTAGAGGTTATGAAGTTATGTTAAAAATCTATTTTCCAACCATGATTTTAAATCAATTTTTTTGGATGTTTAACGTTGTTTGTTTATGAGGTGAAAAATCATTTTTCCATTACTAGATACATTCCCAAACTGGTCCTATACAAACTAAAATATTTCCATTACTTACAATTACTTTTTTTATTTTAATATATACAAAATTATAATTTATAATTTATAATATTATAAATAAAATAATTATTAATTTAAATAAAATAAGTTATATTACTTTTAATGAGACTTGAACATCATGTCTCTTATTATTTAAAAATAAAATTTTAATCATATATATTTAAAAATATTTCAAATTAACAATATTAAGTAAAAAAAAATTGTCTCGAAAACATATGGTTAAAAGTTGTTAATTAACACCTCCTCTTCTCTATTTCTCTAGGTAAAAATTGTTAAAAAAAAGTAAAATAAAAATAATATTATATTCAACTAATAAAATACATTATATTAATGATAGAAAAAATATCCAATTAAAATACTTATAACTAAAAACAATAAAATACTTATAAATTTTGAATTCAAAACTAAAAAATTATCATTTCAAGTTTTAACTATTAAAATAACATAATATTATTGGTAAACTACGTATGTAGTCACCCAGTAATTCAAATGGTTTCATTTAGTCATTCAATTATTTTTTTTTTAAAAATTATACCTAATGTTAGTTTCATTTTAATCATTTATCAGTAAAAAAATTAAGAGAACTACTTATATGATATTTTTTTTACTTTTTTTTAATGATGACTATACATTATCTTATGATGATATGTTAGTGTTACTGTGAATTTTCTAATGACGAGTGAACAAAATGAAATCAAAATATAACATTTGGTATAATTTTTAAAAAATTGTTAGATGACTAAAACAAAACCACTCAAATAATTAGGTCAGTAAATATATAGTTTACCCTAATATTATTTAATAAAAGTATATTTGATCAAAAATACTTTTCAAAACCTTTTTTGATGTTAATATGTCATGGATGATGCCACACTTGACGAGCACTGTTAATGATGAACATCATTAAATTAATTTATAAAATGTCAAATTATAAAGTATTAAACATATAATTATAAATTAGTTAAAAATCTAAATGTAATTTAATTAAAATATAATATTTATAAAACATTAGTTTTCAAGGTAAACTATAACATTGTCTACCTAACTATTTACCTCTTTTACTTTAACCACCGATTTTTCAATTTTTTCAATCAAGTCACTTAACTATTTAAATCTTGTCAATCAAGCAACATGCCCTTAAATATTAAAGGAGGAGATGACATGACAATTAATAAATTTAATCTTCAATCCGATGGTGATATGTGTCACTGTGTAATTGGTTGTTTTGTAATATTTTTTATTTAATAAAATTTTCATCCAATCAAATGGTGTCACGTGTTACCAATTGAATGAATGGAAAATATATATTAAATCAATAACCGCTACTAATGGGGTTTGAACCTGGGATGCAAGCTAAAAAAATTAAGCACCCTAACCCCTAAGCTAGACCACTAAATTTATTTAATATACATAACATAATCTATATAATTTATAATATAGTTAATGATAATAAATTACCTTGTAACGACTCAAACATTAAATAATTGAATAGTTTGAAAATATAAAATATGTATAAAACAAATATTATAATTAATTAATAAATGAATATGTTTTATTTATATTTTAAATCACATTTAATGCAAAAATTAAAATAAAAGTGAATTTAATATGTTATAACTGAAATTTATTATTTTACGTATTTCAAATTAATAAATTGTGTTAAATATTCTAATTTTATTGAACCGAAATGTATCAATCTTATATTTTAAAATATTATAACATCGATAAGATCATAATCTTATTTAACAACTCTATATTAAAATAGACTAATTCAATAAAATCAAGTTTCCCTAAAATTTTCTTTAAATAAATAATGAATAAATAATAAAATAAAAATTCTTACTCTAACCGGGATATAAACAAGTCAATGCATAAGTTAAAATACTTACTACGATAAACCCTCAACTATCAAGAAAATTCTAAGTCAACGAAAATCTTCGTTATATTTCAATTATAATATATTAAAATTATTTTTATTTTTCATTAAAATGATTTAAAATATAAATAAAATACATTTACGTATTAATCAATTATAATATTTGTGTATGTATATATATCATATTATCCTATTATTCAATTATTCCATGTCGGAGTTCTTATTAGGTCATTTTCATTTTTTTTATTGCCATTAACTATATATATTATGTCGTGATATGTTTGCTATTTGAATGTTGTAGTTCAATGGTTGAGACGTTTGTTTCCTCTCTTCACGTCTTGGGTTTAAACCCTATCAGTAGCAGTTATTGATTCAATTTATTTTCTATTCATTCAATTGGTGATATGTGACACCATTTGATTGGATGAAAACTTTATTAAATTAAATAAAAAAATTAAAAAAAATCCAATCACATAGTGACACATGTCACCTTCTGATTAAAGATTAAATTTATTGAATTAATTAAAAGTTAAGACCAAATTAATAGAATGTGTAAGTAATGAGGACGCAATATGTAATTATACAAATTTGATTAACTGTTACGTCATCTCCTCTGCTAATATTTAATGGAGGTGACTTGATTGACAATATTTAAATAATTAGGTGATCTGATTGAGAAAATTAAAAAAATAAGTGATTAAAGTAAAAAGATAAATAATTAGGTGGTCAATGATATAGTTTACCTTAAAAAATAATATTTTATAAATATTATATTTTAATTAAATTACATTTAATTTTTTAACTAATTTATAATTGTATGTTTAGTACTTTATGATTTAATATTTTATAAATTAATTTAATGGTGTTCATTATTAACTGTAGTCATCCATGCTCGATGCTGGATGAACATTATAGAATTTTTTAATATGTTATACGCTAACAAATTGCTATGAGATAAATTTACGTACTATTTTTCCATAAATAACCACAAATTAGTATTATTTTTAGATTTTTTTTAAATATTTGTGTAAAATCTTTCCAATTTATTTAAAAGAACAATATTTAAGAAAAAAAGTTAATAAGAAAAGAAAAAAGAAAAAATATTTAAGAAACCAGTCTTCTGTTTCCCTTAAATTTACAATTCTATCCCTATCTTACCTTCCAAGAAGAAACCCCCTTTCACGACCATATTACCTGTATCTTAGTTGTCTTTCAATGGCCTCTCTTTCTCGGAAATCTCAACTCATATCCTTCAACCCTTTTCTATATATTCCATTCCAAGCTCCCCAGATATTACATTCAACTAAGCATAATCAAATTCCCCAACATTTTCCCATATTCTACTTTGTTCCTTCTTGTTTCCTTTTTATTACATCAACCATGTCTGCAATTCCTCCACCAGCTTCACAAGGCTCATCATCAGCTTCGGGTTTCCATGATTTCTTGCCTGTGATGGCGAACAAGCTCGGAGGGGAAGGTCTGATAGGGGAGCTGTGCAATGGGTTCAGTCTGTTGATGGACAGTGAAAAAGGGGTCATTACTTTCGATAGCTTGAAGAAAAATTCGGCACTCTTGGGGTTACAAGACTTGACAGATGATGATTTGAAATCTATGATGAAAGAAGGTGATTTCGATGGCGATGGTGCGCTTAACCAGATGGAGTTTTGTGTGTTGATGTTCAGGTTGAGCCCTGAGTTGATGGAAGCATCTCAGTTTTTGTTAGAGGAAGCTTTTCAACTTTAATTCAAAGGATTTCCATTCATACTTTTAGTTTATTTTTTAATCCTGATTTTGTCTTTTCAATGAAATTGTTGAATATACCGAGGGAATTGAAAAAGAAAAGGAAAAGAAATGATCATTTTTTTTATACATTTGTGTTGGATTTTATTTAATTTTTTTCATTTATTCATTCACTTAAACGGGGAATTTTATTGAGATAATGAGAACACAGGTAATAAACGAGTCATTCGGATTAAATTTGAGTAGGATCAAATTTATATTCGGTTTAATTTCGTACAAATTAGATTAGATTTAGTTCGAATTTAGTTTTACTGTATGATAAATCGAGTCAGATCGAGTTTCGAATTGGGTCAATTTTTGGGTCGGGTCAACTTTCAGGTCAGATGATTATCGAATCAATTAATTTTCAGGTCGGATTAATATTATATCAATTAGATTTCGGGTCGAGTCAATATCATACCAATTGATTTTCAGACCAAATCAATATCAGATGGGTTGATTTTCGGTTTAAGTTAACCTTTGGATTATTAATATATTCTTGTATAAAATTTTCTATTACAAATTTCATTATCAATTAAACATATTGTACTAGATGTTCAATGTTTAATTATAAATTTAATATTTTTATTAAATGTTTAAAAATGTAATACATAAATAAACTTTCTAATATTTTTATTATAAATACAATATCCTTATTAAATTTTCAACTTTATTTAAATTAAGTATTATTCAAAATAGTTTTATCGTTTGAATTAAATTAAACTTTCTTTTATATATTAATATATTTTTTATTAAAAAATCAAAATAGATTTCACCATTTAAATTAAAGTATAATTTTATTTCTATAATTTTTTTTATATATTTGAGATTTATGTTTTATGCTAATTTGTGTTTGTAAAAAAATAAAATTTCTTTTTTTAAATTAATTATAATATATCACCTAAATAATAACAATTAAAGTTAATCATATAAGATATTGTCAGAAAATGTAATCATATAAAATAGAATTTTAGATAATAACTTTACTTTGTAATCTTTCATATCAAATAGTTTCTAATTTTTCTAGAAATCATCGGATCAAATATGAAGATGATCTTTTAAACAATAAAAAATGATATTAAACTATTATCAATGACGATACTGATTTCTTGGCTTAATAGTTTATTGATAAAAAAAAAACAAATTACAATTTCTTGGCTTTGAGAGAGAGACAACAACGGAAGAGAGTAAGAAAAATGGCCCAATATTCCACAATTACTTCTGTCTTGATATTTGAATTAGAGTGATACTAAAATGAAACAAAAATTAAACGTTAGGTGTGATTTTGGAAAAAAAATGAAAGTTTAGGTACTAAAATGAATTAAAATTGATAGTTTAAGTACTAAATACGTAATTTACCTTTGAATTATTGCAAAACAGCTTCAAGGAAACTGAGTATTTACCATGTTTGTTTATACAGACATCATGGATGATACAATGAAGACATAGGCAAGAAAATTTTATATGCAATTCAAAAATAAAAATGAATGTGGTGAAAGTTAGGGGAAAATCAAATACTAGCATTTAAACAAGGTGACGCGAAGTTAAACAGAAAACTAAAGGAACAGGTACTAGAAGAAGAAGATCGAGATAGAAGGAAGAAACTCAAAAGAACTGTCATTTCATTAAGTTGATGAACAAACCCTAAACCCTAAAAAACTTCAAAACAACACCATTCTCATTAAAATATCAATTCTAAAACGACATCGTTTTATTTGTTTAAATTGATTAACATATCCTAAACAAAAACTAAAAGGCTTAATATAACAATGTTGAAGAATACACTTAACATTAATTACACCAAAAGCATACCCTTTTTCTCTTTATTGTTCACCGTTCTTGAAGATTGATTAGCATTGTAACGTTTTATCTTCCAAGTATAACATCACTAACTGAACTTTGGTATATTCGAGAATCGATTCGGTCTCAAAAGTTTTGAGGACTAATTCATAAATTCTAATTTGTAAGCACAAATCCTAATGTGAATCAGATTAATCATATCAGCTAGTCGATGTTTGCAAGGTATGTATTAATGAGTTGCCAATATATTAAGAAAATTCTGAATAGATTTAAATTATTATTTTGACCATTACAAGTTTACAAATTGCGGGAGGGATATTATAGCTAAGTTTCAAACATTGAATAGAAGCATCTTCAAAGTCCACTAAAATATCAAATACGTTTACTCTCCGTCATTATTGGCGAAGACCTCCGAAGCTTTATTAACCAAAAATCATCGACCTTCCCTTGCCGGTGTTCATTTGCTCAAGATAAAAGTCTTGCTCTTGCATTTATAGTCAATGCATGTAACTTACAATGTTCAATCAAATGCAATCTAATGCTTAATTTAGCAAGCCTATCAGACTAGACATCCATGGAAACGGGTTTCTGTTTTCGCATTGCTTCTTGTTTCCTCATCTTCTTCTCAAAAGCCTCGACTGCAGCAATTGACACCATTTCTCCATCAGAGTTATTCACTGATGCCATGACTTTAGTCTCCAATGATGGAACCTTTGCATTGGGTTTCTTCTCTCCTGGCACTTCTAAGAACCGCTACCTGGGAATCTGGTACAACAACATCCCCATGCAAACTGTTGTTTGGGTTGCAAACAGGATAAATCCAATCAACGATTCCACTGGCTTGTTGAAGATAGAAACTAGTGGCAGAATTGTACTTCTAGTTCAAAACACAACAGCTGTTTGGTCGACTAATTCGACAGCAATTGTACAGAATCCAGTATTGCAGCTTCTGGATTCTGGTAATCTTGTTGTCAAAGATGGAAAGGATCCAGATAATTACTTATGGCAAAGCTTTGATTATCCATCAGATACACTGTTACCAGGGATGAAAATTGGTATTGATTTAAAAACTGGTTTCCATCGAAGACTTTCAGCCTGGAAGAACTGGGATGATCCGACTCCTGGTGATCTTACTTTTGGAATTGAACTCCAAGGAAACCCAGAAGCTGTTCTAAGAAAAGGCTCAGAAAAGTACGCTCGCAGTGGTTTATGGAATGGCAATGATTTTAGTGGGTATCAAAATTTAAGGCGGAATCCTATATTTGATTATGGCTTCGTCTGGAACGAAAATGAAGTTTACTACATACAGTTCACCAAAGACAATTCAGTTATTTTGAGGGGCATTTTGAACCAAACTGAAAGTGCAATACAAAGGTACACATGGAACCCAGAAACTCAAACCTGGAAGCTGTTTTTAAGCTCGCCAATTGACCTTTGTGGCAGATATGGACATTGTGGTCCAAATGGGAACTGTGATAGCACTAAGCTTCCGGCTTGTTGTCAATGTTTGACAGGGTTCAGGCCGAAATGGCCCGAAAGATGGAACTCAGCTGATTATTTCGGAGGGTGTATACACAGTAAGCCATTGAACTGCCAGAGTGGGGATGACTTTATCAGAATAAGGAGAGTGAAAACTCCAGACGCCACAAAGTCTTGGGTTAATAGAACTATGAATCTCATGGAATGTAGGGCTAAGTGCCTGAGGAACTGTTCTTGCACGGCGTACACTAATTTATATGTTACAAGAGGAGGTAGTGGCTGTGTGATGTGGTTCGGTGATCTAATCGATATCAAACAATTTCAATCAGATGGTCGGGATGATCAGGATCTTTACATAAGAGTGTCCGCTTCAGAAACAGGTACTGGTTCACAAAGCTAACATGTTCTTATTACATCTTGTGGTAACGTTTTTTTTTTTGAGTTTTTGTGTAATAAATAATTAATATTTGTGCATCTTGACATAATGGCAGAACTGAAGAAAAAGGCTAAGGTGAAGCCCATCATACTTGCAACTGTAATTGCTTCCCTTTTGGGGATTCTTTTGGTCGTTTGTTATAATCGCAGAAGCAGGAGAAAGTTAAAAGGTAACACTAATTATGGTCTAAAATGTATAACCTTCAAAAACAAACTGCTAATGGATGGTTTTGAACTTTTTATATGATCTAAGAAACAGAGTTCCATAGTTCATAAACCAAGTGCTTGGGGTATTTTGGTTCGGTGTTTGTCCAGAAACTTGTCCAATTCTATGTTTTATACTCTTTTCAGATGAAGTTGAAGACAAGAATCCAAGTGATAAAGAGAATAAAGACGAGAATGAAGATATGGAGCTTGTAGTATTTGAGTTTAGTACAATAGCTCAAGCTACTGATAGTTTTTCATTTCGTTACAAGTTAGGCCAAGGAGGTTTTGGTCCTGTTTATAAGGTCAAATTTACTGTATTTTATTACAGTGATATCTAAGTATACAATTTTACTGTAAGCTCATTAAAATATTGTAAAATTTTCCAGGGGACACTTCCAAATGGACAAGAAATTGCAGTGAAGAGACTTTCAAAGACTTCTGGACAAGGATTGAATGAGTTCAAGAATGAAGTAAAGTTGATTGCCAAACTTCAGCATCGGAATCTTGTAAGGCTTCTTGGATGTTGCGCTCAAGGAGACGAGAGAATGCTGGTCTATGAATACATGCCTAATAGAAGCCTTGACTCTTTCATTTTTGGTCTGAAAATCATTAGAAAACGTATTTTTGTTTTCACTTATGCTTCTTCATTGATTAAATAAGATGCAGGACTAACATGAAAGCGTAATTTGTAGATCAAACTAGACGCGAAGTATTAACCTGGTCCAAGCGTTTTCGAATTATCAGCGGGATTGCTAGAGGACTACTCTACCTTCATCAAGACTCAAGGTTGAGGATAATTCATAGAGATTTAAAACCTAATAATGTTCTACTTGACAGTGAGATGAACCCGAAAATTTCGGATTTTGGCATGGCGAGAACTTTTGGAGGAGATCAAACAGAAGCCAACACAAATAGAGTAGTTGGAACTTAGTGAGTGTACTTTTTGACCTTTTCCACATTATTTGATCCATAAATCCCAATAAAAAACTTCATTTTCTTTATCTGACAATGTTCTGCAGTGGTTATATGGCACCAGAATATGCTAGCGACGGTCTGTTTTCAATAAAATCAGATGTTTTTAGCTATGGGATTTTATTGTTGGAGGTTATAAGTGGAAGAAAGAATAGAGGGGTTTATCATGCAAATCAAAGCGAGAACCTCGTTGAACATGTAAATGTCAACAGATACTACTACGGTTATGTTTTCTCGCAAATTATAAATTCTTAAAAGGTTTGAATTTTGATGCAGGCATGGAGATTATGGACAGAAGGGAAGCCTTCAGATGTTGCTGAGGATTTCTTAGTACAGAATGGTGGTCCACCCCAGCTATTACGTTGCATCCACATTAGCCTTTTATGTGTACAGCAGCATCCCGAGGAGAGGCCGGACATGTCATCTGTGGTTCTTATGTTGGGAAGTCACAATGAATTGCCTTCGCCTAAGCAACCTGGTTTCCTGTTTTGCAAGAAACCCTTTGAAGCAGATTCTTCACCCGGCACCGACGGAACGTCTTCGAGAAATGAAATAACTTCATCGCTATTAGAGGCTCGATAAGAACATGTTGTATGTGACACTTAATCTATTATTCTCATAACTATCATTAAACTTGAGGCTTTTTTCTTTCTCCTGAAATTATGATTTCTAGGATATTAAAGTTTGGAGGAAGTTGATATTTTTTATAACAATTATAAATGGGGATTTCTAATGGTATAAACATTTTAACTGTGGAGTGTTATGATTTACAATTTTTTAAAATTATTTTTTGTTCCAACTTATTGTATAAATTCATCACTTCCCATTCAACAAAAATGTTATTGCAAGATTCTCTGTTTCAATCTATTCCTAATTTGTGTTTAAATGATGTTCCCTTTAAATTGTACCTTGTGAGTTGAAATATATAATCAAAACAGTCTAAACATAAGGAAATAACTAAGCATCTTAAAAGTCAGTTAACTTTAATATAAAATACTTACAGTCACTGACATTATTGATAGACTTCCAATATTTTATTAATCAAATTCCATGACTACAAGAGTCTGACGTCTAGAATGTTCAATAAAATGGAATATATACTAAATTTGCAAGAAATTAGCTACCAGACTAGACATCCATGAAAATAGGATTCTATTTTTACAGTGCTTGTTGTGTCCTCACCATCTTCCCAAAAACTTCAATTGCAATCCGGAGATCTACTTATGGCAGCTCCTGGATTCTGGTAATCTTGTTGTCATAGATGGAAATGATAGTAATCCGGAGAACTAGTTATGGAAAAGCTTTGATTATCCATCAGATACAATGTTACCAGGGATGAAAGTTGGTGTTGATTTCAGTACTGGCTTCGATCGAAGAATCTCAGCCTGGAAGAAATGGGATGATCCATCTCCAGGTGATCTTACTTATGGTGTAGAACTTGAAGTAAACCCAGAAATGATGCTAAGGAAAAGATTAGAAAAGTACTCTCTGAGTGGGTCATGGATTAGCAATGGATTTGGTCGGGTACCAAATGTAAGGTCGAATCTGATCTATGATAATGACTTTCGGAGGAAACCAAACAGAAGCCAATACAAATAGAGTAGTTGGTACTTAGTAAGTGTACTTTTATGCCTTTTCCATACAATTTAATCCATAAATCCCAATACAAAAACTCCATTTTGTTTATCTGACAACGTTCTACAGTGGTTACTTGGCACCAGAATAAGCTACTGAGAGGCTATAGTCAGTAAAATCAGATGCTTTTAGTTTTTAGTTTTGAGATTTTGCTGTTGGAGGTTATAAGTGGAAGAAAGAATAGAGGGTTTTATCATGCAAATCAAAGCGGCAACAACATCAACTGATACTATTATCATTATGTTTCATTACTTCAACTACAAATGCTAAAAGATTTAAATTTTGCTGCAGGCATGGATATTATGCAAAGAAGGCAAGCATTTGGATGTCACTAATGATTTCATAGTAGACACAGGTGACCTATCCGAGCTGTTACGATGGATCCACATTAGGCTTTTATGTTTACAGCAGCATCCTGAGGAGAGACCGAGCAACACATCCGTGGTTCATATGTTGGGACGTCATAATGAATTACATTCGCCTAAACAATCTGGTTTCTTGTTTTACAAGAAACCCTTTGAAGCAGATTCTTCACCCGATATGCATGGTTCATAAAATCTCCAAACTATAACCTATAATTTATATTTTTGTTACAATCAGCAAATGTTTGACAGAAATGTCTGATGAAAAGGACTTGACCTTTTGGTAACGATGTTCGCTTAATTAATCATTATTGATATGAAAATTTCTACCATATGTCGTTTTTTTCCTCCCCCCCCCCCCCCCGAGATGCATATGGAAGTGGAAATGCATGTTAATTACACTCTGAATGGTTCTTGGTCATACTTTTTTTCCTTCTCAACAGTCTGAACTAAAGAATAAAAAGATAAGCATCTTCAATGTCAGTGAATATAAATTCAGATAAGCATCTTCAAAAATTTTACTTGTGATGATGGGATAAGGTTTCATCATAATCTCAAATTTAACAAGGACGGTATGTTTTATTAATTCCAATATGGTGAGAGGACTAGAGGCCATGGCGGATGCACCCATTATTTAGGGTAGTCGAGTATTTTATCTTGAAATCTTATATTTTTTAGTTATTTATTTTATTGATTGTATCTATCTTAAAATTTTATCTATATTTATCTGCATACAAAAATCTAATATTGTTGATACATGTATATCCATCCTAAAAAAAATATTTCTAAATCTGTCACTTAACAGGGCTTATAATGCTCCTGAATGACTTGAAAGCTAAAATGCAAGGCGTAGAACCAAATCATTTATTAAGCCTCAACCAGTATCTCTTACATTAATCTTTCCCAGTCAAAACCATCACAGAAGTATAATGTTTAAGCTGAAAAAACTCCAATTCGTACTCAGCCATTGTCATATTACACTGGATTAAGCCAATGGACTATCGCTTACACGTTTCCATGTAGTGCTGGCTCATGACCATGAACTTCTTCTTGAATACTTGTAAGAATTAATTCCTTCGAGCCAATACTCTGCAACAGTTGGATCAACTCCTTGTTCTCCTGCAAAAGTTTAGAAAGAAAGAAGAAGAAGATGAAGATTTTTAGTCTAAAAAAGTTGAGAAAAAAGCTTACCTCTGTTAACTTTTGTTTACCTTCAGCCTGTAAGAACACCAAGGATAAAATATTCTGACATAATATAGGATCACTCCGACGTAATCCTTGCTTTGGGGAAAAAAAACTTACAGTTGAGCTTCGGTTGACCAATACCTAATATGATACAGGGGTAATGCATGGAGGATTAGTTGCGTGAATTTTGCACCTAACCCCATAACATGGAAATTTTCCAAAAGTAAATTGCCACCCAATACCATCATAACCTTTAAATATATCAGTTTTAAACAGCCCCCATGCGTAGCTTTCACACGACATTTCCTCCGCATGATATGGATGAGTTCACACCCAAGGAGGATATGACCCATGATAAAAGCATTTTAAAATGGTGGTTATAATCGCCGGCAATCGGCATCATATCTTTCAATCTATTGGCCGACACTTACGAACAGGTCATGTGGACGACATTGCAAATGCTGATGGGCATTTGGGGAAATGCCATGGATCAAATATGCTATTAAAAAAAAGAAGAAGAAGAGGGGGGGTGGAAGTTGGGGAAATTTAATACTAGCATTTAAACAAGACCGGATCTTTATGTGGCCCTTGAGACAATATAAAGCTTGTAGCTTTAGTTTAGACTGTAAATAACGTTTCTGATCAAATCATCTAAAGTTTAGCTAAAAGTCTGATGAAAGACTTTTTCTTTTTGTTCTGATGAAAGACTTGACTTTGGGTAACCCATCTTCAAAGGCAGTTGAATATAAAATACTTGTAGTCTCTGTCTTTATAGTCAATGCTTGTAAAATGTTGGGCAAACTACATTAAATGGTCATTGAACTTTTATTTAGCTTGCATTTTGGTTAACCAACTTTTAAAACTTATAATACAGTCACCAAACTTTTAGTTTGTTTTAAGTAAGGTCCCTGATATTACCTCCCGTAAGTTTTATCTGACGAGACACACCACTTTTATTTTTTAGCTTAATAAAATAATCCTTTTAACCCATTTTAGCTTAATAAAAAAAATTTCCTCACCCAAAATTGACTAAAAACCCTAAAAATCAAATTTCTCTTTCTCTTATTTTCTTTGTTTGATCAACAATCGAAGCTAGCAATGGAGACACCAACTGCAATCCCAACATGTTTTTATGGAATGTCAACTACCTTACGCACAACTTGGACTAATAATAATGTTGGAATGAGGTTCTTTGGGTGCGTTAACCATGGGCATGTATTTAGAAGAAATTGTAAATTTTTTATTTGGTATGATCCTCCATTGAATTCACGTTCACGTGTTGTTATCGTTAGGTAACATGTGAATCAAATCATATATTTTTTTTCAAACACAAAAAATAATAACTTACTGTTTGCCACACTTAAACAAACCTTCGATCGATTCTTTCTCTCCCTCATTGTCATCCACAACATTCGATAATCTAAAAAAAAACCAAAACCAAAAAAACTCAAATTAAACCTAATATCACTACAGCAAAATAGAGTTTTAGCGGTGTTTTTTTAGTCTTATAGCGGCGTTTTTAAGCGCCGCTAAAAGTATTTGCGGCGATAGGAAAAACGCCGCAAGAAGCGCAGGCAATACCAGCGCCGTTAAAGTTATCGGCGTTTGAGAATAAAAAACGCCGCAATAGGTCAATATCTATTACGGCGTTTTTTGAACAAACGCCGCAAAAGGTCGATATCTATAGCGGCGTTTTTGGAATAAACGCCGCAAAAAGTTATGATATATAGCGGCGTTTGTAGAAAAAACGCCGCAAAAGGTCAGATCTATAGCGGCGTTTTTGGATACGAACGCCGCAAAAGAGAAGACCTATACTGGCGTTTTTAGAACAAACGTCGCAAAAGGTCAGACCTATAGCAACGTTTTTGGACACAAACGCCGCAAGGTCAGACCTATAACGGCGTTTTTGAACTCAAACGCCGCAAAAAGTCAGACCTATAACGGCGTTTTTGGATACAAACGCCGCTAATTACCTTTCTTTAGCTAATATTAATTGATTTTGCATATTTCATTTCTGCTATACATCTCCTAAATTTATATCTAGCTTTATCTAATTAACAACAACCATACATTTTAATTAAGACAAAAAACATAAAGAAAAATACTTAACAACAAAATAAATTAAAGTTTTTTTATGGAGAGAGAACCTTAAAAGACATTAAAGTACAAATGAGTTACAACTGAACCTCAAAGTGTAGATATACATGGATTTATTGTTCGATACATCCTCAATTTCACTAGCGTCATCATCATAACCTCCAGATATGCCTTCTAAAGCTAATTTGTTTCCCACTTCATTGGAATTTGTCATATTCATCGTCTTGACATCTTATTTAAAAGTATCATTTGACAGTGAATGATCTCTTCTCAATAGATTAAAAACAAATGGGAAACGTTGTGCCAGTCTATTGAAGAAGCCGCTTTTTGTTGTAGTTTGTTCTTCAATATTACTGCAATTACAATAATTTAGATGAGACTAAGAAGAGAAGGAAACAACCAGCAGAACTTGCATTCATAACTTGCAATTACAATAATTTAGAAAGATTGGATGTGATTTGGCTAAGAGTTTGAGCATTTTGCTTCAAAATATGCATAATTGTACCGCATATTCCTAAGAACATACGACAAACAAGCATATTAAACAACTAAACAATACAACATGCATAATTTGCAGATTAAACATTAAAACCTCGCGAGTAACTATAATAGGTTTTCCATTAAGTAAAACCTCACATAAACTAAAAAGAGAAGGGAAGAATAACATATAAAATTAAGGAAATAAATAAATAAACAAAATTAGTTTGATAATTTCAAGGAAAATGGACACATGGTGTCTAAAGCCCAAATTAGAAGAAATTTACTTTAACAACACAAATAGACAAAGTTGGGCGTATGAAACAATTAGAGTATAATTTATATATGCAAAGAACAGTCTAATAAACTCTTTAGCTTTACTGTTAAATGCCACAGGTGTTTAGGTTATGCTATTATTTCGCAGATATTCACTGAGTAGCGACTAGACTGAAGCCAGCTGCTAGAATCATTCTTTGACCTCATAAAAGAAAGATCAATCTCTATTGTAGAGTATAACTTTTACATTGCTGTTAAGTTTTCAAAGTTTTCAAAGCCAGATATTACAGGAAGTCAAAAACAGCTTCATGGTTTCAAAACTTTATAAAACTCCAAACTCAGAGAATTATGATGTACAACTCCAGTCACAATTGAATGATGAGTAAGCAAGAGAGAGTTCAACATGAATACACTTTATAAAATGATCTTAAGGAATAGTTCCATATTAATTAGTTCTACATGAAGATTAAGACCCTTTAGTTAGATGGATCACTTGACAATTATGCGTCCAAACTTGAACCTAAATTGTAGGCACTTTACCTGTGATAAATCTAATTTTGAATAGAATTTCAGGAACTGAGCTTGCAAATGCACTACTTGTACAGAATTAAAGAAATTGAAATATCAATTGCTTTAATGTTAAATTTGTGGACCTTGGATTTCAAAGTAATCATTACTTCAATAAACCCCAATTCTGTAGACATCATAAAATTTTCAACGATAATTTTATTCACTCAGCTAAAATGTAAAAAAGCATCTCAATTTCACAGTTCACGGCACCATCACCTAGTAACAGATAAGTGATTTCTTAAATTTCCAATCATAGGCAAACGACAACAAATTTAGCCAAAATTAGTTATGGTAAGCATAATCCTAAGTAAACAAGTGTAGTAAACAGAGTCAGCGGATTAAACCTGAGTAAACTCATGTAGTATGTCTCTATCACTTCGTTTGACTTGTGCAAGTCCAAACCCGAACAAGACGACCTGACCCCCCCCGACTCCATGGCCGCCCCAATTTCACTCCATTCTGGTCATGAACAACAGTATTATTCACGAAGTGATCGACCTCTGGTACGATTGGCCCAACGGAAGAAACTTCAACATCATCCAGCACCAGCTGGGGAATGTCCTCCACGATCTCGAGTGGAACAACGGGACTTCCTTCTTTTACACCCTCGATTCCTCCAAAACCTACAGCAGTGTTCAGCTCGAGGTCGGGATTTTACGCCCCGACTGGCTCGACGGAGCTACGTACTTGGGTCAGCGAGAGGCGGACGGGTTCGTTTGCAATGTGTGGGAGAAAGCAGATTTCATCACGTATTTTGAGGATGTGGTCACTAAGAGACCCGTTCTCTGGATCTTCTACACCGGCGAGTCTAACTGATTTCGATTCAGTTCAATTTTAATCTGATGAATGAAGGTGAAAATTGAAAGTGTAGGGAGGGAGGCGCATTTGATGACATTTGAGGCGGGAGCAGTTCTTGATGATTCCAAGTGGCAAGCCCCCATATACTGCTTTCACAACACCACCAAAACCACCACCCACAGATTGTTGGGTGGAGCTCTCAAAGGTTTCAAAAAAAGGTTAAAGGGCGCGACACTTAAAATTTGTAAACTTGCAGCGTTTGTAAACACAAACGCCACTATAGTACAAGTGTATAACGGCGTTTGAATAAAAATGCCACTAAAGTACGCGTCTTTAGCGGAGTTTGCATAAAAACGCCACTAAAGTATAAGTCTTTAGCGGCGTTTGTATAAAAACGCCACTAAATTATGAGTCTTTAGCGACGTTTGTAAACACAAATGCCACTATAGTACATGTGTATAACGGCGTTTGTATAAAAACGCCACTAAAGTACAATTCTATAGCGGCGTTTGTATAAAAATGGCACTAAATTACGAGTCTTTAGCGGCGTTTGTATAAAAACGCCACTAAAGTACTACTCTTTTGCGGCGTTTGTTGAAAAAACGCCACTATCGATGAACCTATTGCGGCGTTTTTATAAAAACGCTACTAAAGTTACCATTTGTGGCGTTTGCTATGTAAACGCCGCTATATGTTTAAAATTAGTGGCGTTTACTCCTAAAACGCCGCTAACAACGCCGCTGTAGAACAATTTTGTTGTAGTGTATATCCAAGTCAATTGATCAGTTAAAAGGTTTTAAATCCTTTTAACTTTTTCCAAATTTTATAGGGCGTCGTTTGTGAATGTTTTTTTTTAATTTTTATTAAGTTGAAAAATAACAGTAACATGCCACGTCAGATAAAACTAATAGCAGGTAACGTCAGGGACCTTACTGAAAATAAACTAAAAATTTGCTGATTGTATTGCAAGTTTTAAGTTTAGTGACCATAATGCATATTCCCTAGAAGTTTAGTGACCATAATGCATATTCCCTAGAAGTTTAGTGACCATTCATGTAGTTTACCCTAAAATGTTCGAATGTGTAATTAATTCTCCGAGAAACGAACAATCAGACAAGACATCCATGGAAATGGGTTTCTATTTCTACTGTGCTTGTTGTTTACTCATCATCTTCCCAAAAGCTTTAACGGCAATCTACACCATTTCTCCATCAGAGTCACTCACTGATGCCATGACCTTAGTCTCCAATGATGGAACCTTTGTGTTAAGTTTCTTCTCTCCAGGCACTTCCAAGAACCGCTACCTGGGAATCTGGTTCAACATCCCCATGCAAACTGTTGTTTGGGTTGCAAACAGGATAAACCCAATAAATGATTCCACTGTCTTGTTGAAGATAGAAACTAGTGGCAGAATTGTGCTTCAAGTTCAGAACACAACAGCTGTTTGGTCGACTAATACGACGGCAAGTGTTCAGAATCCAGTATTGCAGCTCCTGGACTCTGGTAATCTTCCTGTCAGATATGGAAACGATAATAATCCGGAGAACTACTTATGGCAAAGCTTTGATTATCCAGCAGATACAATGTTACCAGGGATGAAAATTGGTTTTGACTTAAGAACTGGCTTGGATCGAAGACTCACAGCCTGGAAGAACTGGGATGATCCATCTCCAGGTGATCTTTGCTATGGTGTTGAACTTAAAGGAAGTCCAGAAATGGTGCTAAGGAAAGGCTTAGATAAGATCTCTCTCAGTGGGTTATGGGCTGGCACTGGATTTAGTGGAGCACCAACTTATAGGTCGAATCCGATCTTTGATTATAACTTATTGTGGAACGAAAATGAGATTTGCTACACATATTTTCGTAAAGACCAATCAGCAAAGTTGAGGAATGCTTTGAACCAAACAGAAAGCGAGTCACAAATTTACACATGGAACCCAGAAACTCAATCCTGGCAGCTGTTACTAGCCTTGCCAATCGACTATTGTGACAGAAATGATTTTAAATTTATTTTTAAATAAAAAATTAAAAATCAAGTCATATATCATGTATTTATTAAGTAACAAAATTTTTATGGACATTGACGGTTAGACTTTAAAATAGTAACATAATAAAATATTATATATCTACTTTGAAAAAAAAATTCAAATACATAAAACAAAAAGAAATATAATATCAAATCCTAATCTTAGAGGAAGAGGACCTGACGGAATGAAGAGAAATACTCCTAATTAGTCTAAAATTCATAACCTAAAAAGAATACAAGGAAATAAAGATAAACAACTTGCTCGACCGTCCTAATGCGCTTGCTCAACACATAATTTTTTTTTAAAAGTGAGTTACATCTAAAACTTCCAAAATAAATCGTCAGCTAATACGATCATAACCTTTAAAAATATCAGTTTTAAACTCTCCCAAGAGTAGCTTTCCCAAGATATTTCCATATGGATGAGTCACACCCAAGGAGGGGGTCACAATCTCCAGCATTTTATCTTTCAATCTATTGACCAACACTTTCGAACAGTTCTTGTAGGCGGCTACTGGGCCATCCATTCAACAGATTATCTGTTATTCAAACAAAAAAACAAGTGACAGGGGTGCAAGTTGGGAAATTTAATACTAGCATTTAAACAAGACTTTCTTTTTGTTCGAAGTCTCATGAAAGACTTGACTTTTGGGTAACCCATCTTCAAAGACAGTTGAATATAAAATACTTGTGGTCTCTGTCTTTATAGTCCGTGCTTGAATTTCAAATGTTCAATAAAACGGAATATGTAATGAATTCTGCTAGCAAGGAGCAATCAGACCAGACATCCATGGAAATGGGTTTCTATTTCTACTGTGCTTGTTGTTTCCTCGTCATCTTCTCAAAAGCTTCAATGGCAGTCGACACCATTTCTCCATCGGAGTCACTCGCTGATGCCATGACCTTAGTCTCCAATGATGGAACCTTTGTGTTAGGTTTCTTCTCTCCAGGCACTTCCAAGAACCGTTACCTGGGAATCTGGTTCAACAACATCCCCATGCAAACTGTTGTTTGGGTTGCAAACAGGATAAACCCAATAAATGATTCCACTGGCTTGTTGAAGATAGAAACTAGTGGCAGAATTGTGCTTCAAGTTCAGAACACAACAGCTGTTTGGTCGACTAATACGACAGCAACAGCAAGTGTTCAGAATCCAGTATTGCAGCTCCTGGATTCTGGTAATCTTGTGGTCAGAGATGGAAAAGATAGTAATCCGGAGAACTACTTATGGCAAAGCTTTGATTATCCATCAGATACAATGTTACCAGGGATGAAAATTGGTGTTGACTTAAGAACAGGCTTGGATCGAAGACTCACAGACTGGAAGAACTGGGATGATCCATCTCCTGGTGATCTTACTTATGCAATAGAACTTGAAGGAAGCCCAGAGTTGGTGCTAAGGAAAGGCTTAGAAAAGTACACCCTGAGTGGGTTATGGATTGGCAATGGATTTAGTGGGGCACCAACTTATAGGTCGAATCCGTTCTTTGATTATGACTTTGTGTGGAACGAAAATGAGGTTTACTACATATATTTCCTCAGAGACCAATCAGTAAAGTTGAGGAATGTTTTGAACCAATCCCAAAGTCAGTTACAAAGTTACACATGGAACCCAGAAACTCAATCCTGGCAGCAGTTTCTAGCTTTGCCAATAGACTATTGTGACAGATATGGACTTTGTGGTCCGAATGCGAACTGTGATAGCAGTAAGCTTCCTGCATGTCAATGTTTTAAAGGGTTCAGACCGAAATGGCCCCAAAGATGGAGCTCATCGGATTTTTCCGGAGGGTGTGTACACAGTAAGCCATTGAACTGCCAGAGTGGGGATGGATTTATTAGAATTGATAATGTGAAAACCCCAGACACCACAAGTTCTTGGGTTAATAAAACTATGAATCTCAAGGAATGTAGGGATAGGTGCTTGAGGAACTGTTCTTGCATGGCATACACTAATTTAGACATTACAAGAGGAGGTAGCGGCTGCGCCATGTGGTTTGGTGATCTGCTTAATATCAAACAATTGCAATCAGAGGGTCAGGATCTTTATATCAGAGTGTCTGCTTCAGAAGCAGGTACTGATTTACACTTTACAAAGCTAGAACATGTTGGGTAATGTTTTTGGTTTTGGTGTATAATAAATAATTAATATTTGTGTATCTTGATCAGTGACAGAACTACCTTACAAGTGGGAGGAGATCTGGCCCCATTCATATATTTTTTTCCTTTTAGTTTATATAATAACTTTAAAAGATTTATAGATTAATTGCCTCACTTTTCAATCAAATTATATTTTAACCCTGGGTAGATATTCTGACTTCGTCTCTCTTGACCAATACTGATAATGGCAGAACTGAAGAAAAAGTCTAACGTGAGGCTTGCCATCATACTTACAACTGTACTTGGTGCCTTTTTTGGGTTTCTGATAGTTGCTTGTTACATTCGCAGAAGCAGGAGAAAGTTAACAGGTAACACAAATTATGGTTCTTTGCAACAAATAATAGAACCATTTTGCTCATCTATGTTTAATACTCTTTTCAGATGAAGTTGAAGACAATAATCTAAGTGATAAAGAGAATAAAGACGAGCATGAAGATATGGAGCTTGCAGTATTTGAGTTTGGTACAATAGCTCAAGCTACTGACAGTTTTTCATTTCGTTACAAGCTAGGTGAAGGAGGTTTTGGCCCCGTTTATAAGGTCAAATTTACTGTATTTTATTACAGTGATATCTAAGTATACGATTTTATTGAAAGCTCATTAAAATATTGTAAACTTTTCCAGGGGACACTACCAAATGGACAAGAAATAGCAGTGAAGAGACTTTCAAAGAGTTCTGGACAAGGACTGAAAGAGTTCAAGAATGAAGTAAAGTTGATTGCCAAACTCCAGCATCGGAATCTTGTGAGGCTTCTTGGTTGCTGCATTCAGGGAGTTGAGAGAATGCTGGTTTACGAATACATGCCTAACACAAGCCTTGACGCTTTCATTTTTGGTCTGATATATCATTAGAAAACCTCTCAACATTATCACTTTTGCTTCCTCAATGATCAAATAAGACGTAGGACTAACATGAATGTGTACTTTCCAGGTCAAAAGCATTCTGAAGTATTAACTTGGTCCAAGCGTTTTGAAATTATCTGTGGGATTGCTAGGGGACTACTCTACCTTCATCAAGACTCTAGATTAAGGATTATCCATAGAGATTTAAAAGCTAGTAATGTTCTACTTGACAGCGAGATGAACCCAAAAATTTCGGATTTTGGCATGGCAAGAGCTTTTGGAGGAGACCAAACAGAAGCCAATACAAATAGAGTAGTTGGAACTTAGTAAGTGTTCTTTTATGCCTTTACCATACAATTTGATCCATAAATCCCAATAAAAACTTCATTTTCTTTATCTGATAATGTTCTCAGTGGTTATATGGCACCAGAATATGCTACCGATGGGCTGTTTTCAGTAAAATCAGATGTTTTTAGCTTTGGGATTTTATTGTTGGAGATTATAAGTGGAAGAAAGAACAGAGGGTTTTATCATGCAGATCAAAGTGGCAACCTTATTGAACACGTAAACATCAACTGATACTATTTCATTAAGTTCTGTTTCTTCAACACAAATGCTAAAAGGTTTAAATTTTTCTGCAGGCATGGATATTATGGAAAGAAGGCAAGCCTTTGGATGTTGCTGATGATTTCTTAGTAGGCACTGGTGATCTATCGGAGCTGTTACGATGCATCAACATTAGCCTTTTATGTGTACAACAGCATCCTGAGGAGAGACCGAGCATGTCATCCGTGGTTCATATGTTGGGAAGTCATAATGAATTGCCTTCGCCAAATCAACCTGGTTTCTTGTTTAGCAAGAAATTTAAAGCATATTCTTCACCAGACATCGACAGATCGTCCTCAAGAAACGAAATAAGCTTATCATTATTAGAGGCTCGGTAAAAGAAAATATTCCTTGGTTCATTCAATCTGTTATTCTCCAAACTAGCATTAACAATCTGTTTGTAGTTTCTTCGATATTCAGAGTACATACCTTGTAGTATAAGTTATATGGAAAGCAACCCTAATTTATCTTTTTGAATATTTTTAATAATATAGGGTGATTATAAGCTACTTAAATCCAAAACCTCTAAACAACACTCTCTTTAAACACTAAAATTACTTGATAGAACATATTGTGATGAAAAAAAATAATTATAATAACATATTCTTTTGATTATTAAATTTTCAAAAGTTATAAAATTAATATCAAATTTTATTAAATTATAAAATAATCATTAAATGTATTAATTTTTACACGTATTATAATATCACAATGACCGTTTTATAATAATATGATAAACTTAATTATTAATATTTTATAGGTTTTAAAAGTTTAATGGTCAAAAGGAGACCTCTAACCTACTTTATTCTTATATTTAAAAAAAATTATATATTTAAATTTAGAATTGATATTATTAAAATATAATCACAACCTTGAAAGATTATTGTTCACAAAATAATCGAATATATGAAATTATACATACACGTGCATAGTATTCTCACGAAAACCAAATAAAGAATTAATAAAAAGAAGTGATCAAAAGTAGAGAGTCGTTTTTACAGGGGTCTGAAAGTGAAAAACAAAAGTTGCGTAGGTAGCGTACCGTAGCATGCATGTGAAAGTGGATATAACAGCAAAGTATATATATATATATATATATCATCGTATCTACAAAAATGAAGGCGCTTAGTTCTCAGTAATTTTATATAAATAATTATTTAAAGAAATAGGACTCTCCAACCATTATTTAGAAAAATAATTCTCAATCGTTCACATCGCACAACCTCGTGGCTTGCAAACCACATGTTAAATCCTCGCACTCTCCAACATAAGATACATTCAACGTGGGCGTAATTTTCAAGTAAGCCAATAAAATAATTAGATAAAATGATAAAACCGGCTCCGACCAAGAACTGGGGTGATCCATCTCCAGGTGATCTTACTTATGGTGTAGAACTTGAAGGAAACCCAGAAATGGTGCTAAGGAAAGGCTTAGAAAAGTACTCTCGGAGTGGGTTATGGATTGGAAATGGATTTAGTGGAGGACCAAGTGTATGGTTGAGACCGAACTTTGATTGACTTTGTGTGAAAAGAAAATGAGGTTTCCTACATATATTTCCTCAAAGACAAATCTGTGATTTCGGGATTTGTTATCAATCAAACTGAAAGTGCAAGACAAAGGCACACATGGAACCCAGAAACACAAACCTGGCAGCTGAATATAATAATCCCAACAGACTATTGTGACAGCTATGGACGTTGTGGTCCAAACGGGATATGTGATAGCAATAACCTTCCGTCTTATTGTCAATGTTTGACAGGGTTTAGGCCGGTATGGCCCGAAAGATGGAACTCAGCGGATTATACAGGAGGGTGCGTACACGGTAAGCCATTGGACTGCCAGAAAGGAGACGGATTTATCAGAATTGGGAATGTGAAAACCCCAGACACCACAAATTCTTGGGTTAGTAAAACTATGAATCTCAAGGAATGTAGGGATGAGTGCTTGAGGAACTGTTCTTGCATGGCATACACTAATTTAGATGTTACAAGAGGTGGTAGCGGCTGCGCCATGTGGTTTGGTGATCTGATTGATATCAAACAATTGCAATCAGATGGTCAGGATCTTTACATCAGAGTGTCTGCTTCAGAAGCAGGTACTGGTTTGCAAAGCTTGAATATGTTCTTATTTCATCTTGTGGTAATTGTTTTGTTTACAAAGCTAGAAGATGTTCTTATTTCATCTTGTGGTAATTGCTTTTTTTTGGTTTTGGTGTAATAAATAATTAATATTTGTGCTTCTTGACCAATACTGTTAATGGCAGAACAGAAGAAAAAGCCCAAGGTGAACCTTGCCATCGTACTCCCAACTGTAATTGGTGCCTTTGTGGGGTTTCTGTTAATTGTAGGTTACATTCGGAGAAACAGGAGAAAGTTAACAGGTAACACTAATTATGGTTCTCATAAATGAAATCATTTTGCTGCAAATACCAAAAGCATTTTGCTCATCTATGCTACTCAAACTGGAGTGTTTGCTGGATGTAAGTGTATTTGAGAATATGTTTGACATGAATAAGAAAAACGAAAAGTCAAAAGTAGTTCATGATAGAAAATCATAATCTACGCTCCATTTTCTTAAAAGATATTAAACATTATTTTGATCCTTTTACCTTTTCACTTTAATTTCTTACGAACCTGTAACTTTCAAAAACTAACTGATAATGGATGGTTTTCAAAATTTTATGTGATCTAAGAAGAAACAGAGTCCCATAGTCCATAAACCAGGTGCTTGGGGTATTTTTGGTTTTAGGTGTTTGTCCAGAAACATGTACATAAATCAATCAATATAGAAAAAAGAGGCAGTTTGGTACAATAGCTCATGCTACTGACGGCTTTTCATTTCGTTACAAGTTAGGTAAAGGAGGTTTTGAACCCGTTTATAAGGTCAAATTTACTGTATTTTATTAGAGTGATATCTAAGTATACGATTTTATTGAAAGCTCATTAATAGGCCTGTAAATGAACTGAACGTTCAACGAACCGTTCATGAACCGTGCGGCAGGAAGTTCGTTTATGTGCGTTTATTTATTAAATGAACGAACATGAACAAGATTTTTTGTTCGTTTAATTAAATGAACAAACATGAACATAGGTTTCGTTCGTTCATTTAGGTTCGTGAACGTTCGGTTATGTTCGTTTGGTTATGTTCGTTTATGTTCGTTCGATTATGTTCGTTTATGTTCATTCATTTATGTTTAACCCAATCTTCTTAAATCAATTTTGGTGACCAATTTGTAAGTATCTTAAAAATATTAATCTAATATTCTGATGACCAACTCCATAATTAACCTAATTTTATTTGGAGATTAAATCCAATATGTTAACCTGTGAGGCACCTCGCTCTTATATTCATTTTCCCCTTTTTTTCCCAAATCTTATTGTTCACTGGAGAGTGGAGACGATCTCTGAAAGATTCAAAACAAGTTATATTATAGTGCAATATGAAGTTTTACATGTCTGTTTTCATCTTTCTCTGTTTTATTTGACTTAATAGTTGATATGTAAAGTTATTGTGGGTATCTTCACATCTAAAACTCAAGAAAACATAATACTTCTTTCTAGAAATAGATGGGAAGATAAAGGTAAAAATTGGAAGTATATGAGCATCAGTAAAAAGAAAAATCTATAGAATTTGCCAGAAAACATTTCATCACTGCTAATAAGCTCTTACGCTATTTATCACTGTAGATTTGGTTGATTTGTATTGTCGACTATTTTTCATGAAAGAACAATGGAAGGTAAGGTCTCCAACGTTTATGTTCGTTTATGTTCGTGTTCATTTATGTTCGTGTTCGTTTATGTTCGTGTTCGTTTATGTTCGTTTATTTATTAAATGAACGAACATGAACAAGTCATATTCCTTAATAAACGAACATGAACAAAAAAAATTTTGTTCGTTTATGTTCGTGTTCGTTTATGTTCGTTTATTTATTAAATGAACGAACATAAACATACCTTCGTTCGTGTGCGTTCGGTTCGTTTACAGGCCTACTCATTAAAGTTTCTCTCTATTAGAGGCTTGATAAGAAAAGGTTGTATGGTCATTCAATCTGTTATGTTCCAAACTATCAGTAACAATTTCTGTCACACCTGAAACTTGATGCAGTAACAATATTTGTTGCTAATTTGAATGTTTAGATTCCATAATCATGTTTCGGATATGTAAGAGCCTTTGGTTGGGATCATTGTCATTATGGACCCTATTGAAGAAATTTCTCAGTCCTCACTAAAATCCAATAATTAGCTGCTATCTAAGTAGATTATTAGATTCTTAATTTCAATTCAAAGAAAAACGAAACTTTCATGATCGAATAATTGTATAATTTAATTGGAAAAGGGTCCTTATCAATCCTTTTTGGTTCCACAAATTCTTCATATTTTATCTTCAATTATGTGTTCTTCTATTTTAATCATTTTAGTCTCCACCCTTAATTGAACAAGATGGGTGACACTATTTTTGATCTTATTTTATTGGGATTGACTTACTCTCTCTATCATCAATGGTGCTTCAAAATTCATTGTCTTCTAATCATAGATGAGTTGCAGGTGCTGCTTTTATAGCACACTTTGGAGGAGTATAGAGCCTCCATGAAGCTGGAATGTTGCAGATTCTACCCAAAGCATGCCTGCTAATATCAGTCCAAGCCATAAACTTGCAGTGTCCTTGTGCAGTTCCTGTCCTTGTAAACAAAACTGGGTAGCTTGTTAGGAACCTAAATGCAAAAGTTGTAAATTGAAGGATGTATTCAGCAGATTTAATTATTATATAACATGTGTGAGTGTAAACCCCCAAAAAGCAATTAAACCAAATCCAAAAGCAAAAGTGATTGCCCAAATAAAATCTATACACCGCTATTATAATGATTCAAGGACCAACCCACTTAGCCTAAGTCCAATTTTGAAAGTTTAAAAAAAAAAAAACTTTGGGACATCCAACAAGACTTGTCAAGCCCAAAATATAAGAACCTTTAATTTTTTTTAAAAAAATTGAATATTATACAGTCTGTTTAGAATTTTTTTTAATATATTGTTAATGCATATATATCTTGCAGACATAATTTCTCGAACTTAGATCTTTATGAGAGAAAAAGATTCATTTTTATCATTGAAACCATTCAAAAAGTTAAACCCTTAAATTAATGGATAAAGTACACAAATGATCCATCGATTATAAGATGTTGTTTTGTTGAGTCTCCTGATTATTAAAAGATACAAAATGGTTCATTGACTATAGGGAATTACTTTGTTGAGTCCTCTAACTATTGAAATTTACAAAATAGTCACTTGACTATTCATATATTCCAAACTCATCATTTGTCGTTAAAAAAGTGACAACCATCTGAGATGGACGTTAACATATTGCCTTGGATATAATAAAATATGATCTTATAATCATTTTAGCTTTATATTGTGGATCGAATTTAAACTTTTTTGGACATGAAGTAAGTATATATATAAAAATTGGAAAAATTAGAAAGCTTTTTGTTTAAAACATCAAATATGTTTTTTTACTTCATTCAAAAAATGTACAGAATTTAAATAAAAGAGTAGTTTTTGCTAAAATAAAATGAAAAGCATAGGTGAAAGTTGCGGGAGATAGGTAGCAGCTAGGGATGGCAAACGGGTACAGTTTCGTGGATTTTGCACTGCATCCGCTTTAATTAGAGCGGGGATGGGTATAATTTTAGCGGGTAGTGGGCGGGTGTGGATTTATAAAGTGGTACCCGTCGTGGGTGATGAGCGGGTAATGGGTTTGAGACATTACCCGCATCCGCCCGCCCAGCTAAATATCTATTAAATTTTGGATCATAATGAATTTAAGTGTAATTTTAGAGACTAATTTATAAATTTAATATTGTATAATATATAACATATAATTTAACCAAATATTAAGGATATTTAGTCTTTAATCTGATCTTTAATTAGGGAAATATTCGGCTCTTTGATTAAACCTATAATCCCACTAACCACGTCACTTTCCATGTTCTTTAGCCCATGTTGCCCATCCAAACACAAATTAGCCGTACTATAAGTATTAACATCAAAAGCAGTAGTTTCCATGTTTAGTCCTTCAAAATCCATATTAGGCGTACTATGAGCATTAACATCGAAAGCAGCTCAACAATCCAACTCTGCGACTACATGCTCCCTACAATCTGTCTCCATAACATTCGTAGAGCCACTCATCTGACAAATTGAAGCATGCGCTGCTACCCTATTACGAACTGTCTGGGAACCAACTCTAACATCCCATTAGTTTGCTGTCAAGCGGGTCTAGATGGGTATGTCACTAGGGGTAGTGAGTGTGGGGATGAATTTGAAAATGTACCCGCGTGGGCGGGTGTGGATTTAAAAATTTATACCCATCATGGGTGGTGGACAGGTGATAGATTGAAAAATATTAGGTGGGTATGAGAATGAGAGAGGGAGTATCTACACCCGACCCGACCGTTTGCCATAGCAGCATTTAAACAAGAGCAAATCTTATTTGACAGAAGACAATATGTGTTGGCAATTTCTTTGCAAATCTAGAAGTATCTATAAATTATATTTTTGATCCAATCAGCGGAAGTTCGGTAGCAAATCTGATGAAAGATTCTTGACTTTTTTGGTAACGATGTTCACTTTATTCATATTTATTGATATGAAAATCTCAACCATATGTTTCTTTCTTAACTCATAACATTCATTCTTCAAAGTCGTCTGAATATGAAATAGTTGAAGTCTCTGTCATTATTGAGCAAGACTTGCAAAGTTTTATTTACCAAATTCCATGCCTATGGTCGTCTAGTACGGACAAAGCACTTGCATTTAGAGTCAATGTGTGAATTTAGATTTAGACATCCATGGAAACGGGTTTCTTTTTCTTCGGTGCTTGTTGTTTTCTCATCATCTTCTCAAAAGTTTCAACGGCAACCGACACCATTTCTCCATCAGAATCACTCACTGATGCCATGACCTTAGTCTCCAAAGATGGAAGCTTTGCGTTGGGTTTCTTCTCTCCTGGCACTTCCAAGAACCGCTACCTAGGAATCTGGTACAACACCACCCCCATGCAAACTGTTGTTTGGGTTGCAAACAGGATAAACCCAATAAACGACTCCACTGGCTTGTTGAAGATAGAAACTAGTGGCAGAATTGTGCTTCAAGTTCGGAACAAAGCAGCTGTTTGGTCGACCAATACGACAGCAAGTATCCAGAATCCAGTATTGCAGCTCCTGGATTCTGGTAATCTTGTTGTCAGAGATGAAAACGATAGTAATCCGGAGAATTACTTATGGCAAAGCTTTGATTATCCATCAGATACAATGTTACCAGGGATGAAAATTGGTATTGATTTAAGAACTGGTTTGCACCGAAGACTCTCAGCCTGGAAGAACTGGGATGATCCATCTCCAGCTGATCTTACTTATGGTTTAGAACTTGAAGGAACCCCAGAAATGGTGCTAAGGAAAGGCGTAGAAAAGTACTATCGCAGTGGGTTATGGAATGGTGATGGATTTAGTGGCACACCAAATTTAAGGTCGAATCCCATATTTGATTATGACTTTGTCTGGAATGAAAATGAGGTTTACTACATATATTTCCTCAAAAATAAATCAGTGATGTCCAGATTTGTTTTGAACCAAACCGAAAGTGTAAGACAAAGGTACACATGGAACCCAGAAACTCAAAGTTGGAAGCTGTTTTCGATCATGCCAAGTGACTACTGTGACAGATGTGGACTTTGTGGTCCAAATGGAAACTTTGATAACAATAAGTTTCCGGCTTGTCAATGTTTGACAGGGTTCAGGCCGAAGTTGCTCGAAAGATGGAACTCATCGGATTGGTCTGACGGGTGTATACACAGTAAGCCATTGAACTGCCAGAGTGGAGATGGGTTTGTCAAAATTGCCAAGGTGAAAACTCCAGACACCCCAAATTCTTGGGTTAACAAAACTATGAATCTCAAGGAATGTAGGGCCAGGTGCTTGAGGAACTGTTCTTGCATGGCCTACACTAATTTAGATGTTACAAGAGGAGGTAGTGGTTGCGCCATGTGGTTCAATGATCTGATCGATATCAAACAATTTCAATCAGATGGTCAGGACCTTTACATCAGAGTATCTGCTTCAGAAACAGGTACTGGTTATGTTCTTATTACATCTTCTGGCAATGTTTTTTGGGTTTTGTTTACCAAGTAATTAACATTTGTGCTTCTTCATCAATATTGATAATAGCACAACTGAAGAAAAAGGGTAAGATGAAGCTTGGCATCATACTTGGAACTGTAATTGCTGCGCTTTTGGGGTTTGTTTTAGTCGTTTGTTACATTCGCAGAAGCAGGAGAGTGTTAAAAGGTAACACTATTTATGGGGATTTTTGGTTTCAGTGTTTGTCCATAGACATGTATATATATCAAGAAACATAGAAAAGATGCAATGGAAATTCCTAGTCTAATGTTTTTACTCTTTTCAGATAACGTTGAAGACAAGAATGTAAATGACAATGAGAATGAAGATATGGAGCTTGCAGTATTCGAGTTCGGTACAATAGCTCATGCTACTGATACTTTTTCATTGAATAACAAGCTAGGTGAAGGCGGTTTTGGACCTGTTTATAAGGTGAAAGTTTCTGTATTTTAGTATAGTGATATTTGATTAATCATTTTACCCGAATGCTCATAAAAATGTTGTAAAATTTTCCAGGGGACACTTCCAAATGGACATGAAATTGCAGTGAAGAGACTTTCAAAGAGTTCTGGACAAGGACTGACCGAGTTTAAGAATGAAGTAAAGTTGATTGCTAAACTTCAGCATCGGAATCTTGTAAGGCTTCTTGGATGCTGCATTCATGGGGATGAGAGAATGCTGGTTTATGAATACATGCCTAATAGAAGCCTTGACTCTTTCATTTTTGGTCTGAAAATTATTAGAAAACCTCTCAATGTTATCACTTTTGCTTCTTCAATGATCAAATAAGATGTAGGCCTAACATATATGTGTACTTCCCAGATCAAACGAGACGCAGGGTATTAACTTGGTCCAAGCGTTTCCGAATTATCTGCGGGATTGCTAGGGGACTACTCTACCTTCATCAAGACTCGAGGTTGAGGATTATTCATAGAGATTTAAAATCTAGTAATGTTCTACTCGATAGCGAGATGAACCCAAAAATTTCGGATTTTGGCATGGCAAGAACTTTTGGAGGAGATCAAACAGAAGCCAATACAAATAGAGTAGTCGGAACTTAGTAAGTGTACTTTTGTGCCACTGTCATACTATGTGATCGATTAATCTAATAATAAAAATCATTTTCTTTATCTGAAAATGTTCTGCAGTGGTTATATGGCACCAGAATACGCTACCGACGGGCTGTTTTCGGTAAAATCAGATGTTTTTAGCTTTGGGATCGTATTGTTGGAGGTTATAAGTGGAAGAAAGAATAGAGGGTTTTACCATACAAATCAAAGCGGCAATCTCATTGATCATGTAAATGTCAACAGATACTATCATGTATCATCATGTTTTCTCACTTAACTACAAATGCTTAAAAGGTTTGAATTTTGCCGCAGGCATGGAGTTTATGGAAAGAAGGCAAACCTCTGGATGTTGCTGATGATTTCTTAGTAGAGACCAGTGATCTATCCGAGCTGCTACGATGCATACACATTAGCCTTTTATGTGTACAACAGCATCCTGAGGAGAGACCAAGCATGTCCTCCGTGGTTGTGATGTTAGTAAGTCATAATGAACTGCCTTTGCCCAAACAACCAAGTTTCCTGTTTTGCAAGAAACCGTTTGAAGCAGATTGTTCATCCGGCAACGACGGATCATCTTCGAGAAACGAAATAAGTTTATCTTTATTAGAGGCACGATAAGAAAAGGTTGTACCATTCATTCAATCTGTTATGCTCCATACTGTCAGTTCCACTTGATGCTTGGAGCATGTAAACCCCCACCCCAAAAGAAAAAAACATCATTTATAAGTTGTTGAATATGTACTAGTTTTCTGCTACATTTGTTCTATATCAAGAGCTATCTGGTTTAGAAATGTTTATTCTTGTTTCTTCAACAATTTGTTAATTTTAATGTTTAGATACCATAATCATGTTGCAGATGCAAAAGCAAACTAGTTTCAATCATTCCAATTCACAGAAAAAAAAAAAACATTTACATGGATCATAGTAAGAAAAGCTTCAACTTTACATAATTTTTCTTAAACCCATAATTATAAAGTAATCAAGACTTAAGTTTTACACTGAATTACAAAAGCTGTAACAACTAACTATTGATGCTGTCATGCTGACCATTTCCCATGCTCAACATTCATTTCCACCCCTCACAAAAGGGTAAGCAGCAGCTTCCATCAATGAATTTCATAATTTTCTTTTTCTCGAAATAATATGTTTTATCATTATATTCAGGCAGGAAGTTTCCATAAGCCATTACTTATGATTTATAGTTAGGATAAGAGAGCACCAAATGACCCAAAAATCATGTGAAAACCAGCTCAACTTCTTTTAAGACTGGCATAAAATGATATAAAGTGGTATCTGGTGTGAATGATTATTATTATGATGATGTGGTTGGACCATTGGATCATGCAAATGTATATAATATATGATTGTATCATGAAATGGATGACAGGGAAGGTGTTGAATTTTGTTGACTGAAAAGCAAGGCTGAATTGGATTCTCAATATATGATGTGGATTGGATCAGCATGTAGCATGGGAGACGTCACCCCCATATTTGAATCATATAAATGTCATGCCATTGCCACTCATTAACATTTTCATCCTTTTTTATTGGACCCCAAATTCCATTAATCCTCTAAAAATTAAAATATATATATATTAATAGTAATTCATAATAACATTTTCATTTTTCACATACGCAGTTAAATCACTCATCTTTTTTACCCCCACATACTTAAAGAGTAAGTTATAAATTTAATCACTTAATTTTCCTCTCACTTTTATGTTGGTCCTTAGAATTTTTTTTAGTTTACTCATTAAATTTTTTTTGTTTTATTTTATTCACTTGAATATTAAATCATAAATGAAAAAGTGACATGAGAGTCATTTGTGTTGTTATGGACAATTTTTTATTGACATGGAATTTATGTGTCATCTACATCATTTTCCTTTTTTTCATTATTTTTTATTGATTTTATCTTCTTCGTTCAAAGATTAAAGTTTTAAAATTTCATTCATGTGTCACGTCGGCATCATAATTATCATTCTTTGATGTCTTCTCTAATCATTCAAGCCATCGACGAACTCGTCTCATTGTCTCCTATCACTCTATCAATTTAAATTTTTACCCAAATCACTTTAAAATTCATAAAACTAAACTTTAAACTCTAAATCACAAACCCCCAAATCAATTTGATCTATACTTTTCATCATTTAATCAACGTGGAATCAAAATATACAACTCGCTTCCTCTTTCTCCACCCTCACCATTAGGATTTGGAAGAAGATGCTTCATCATCTAGAAATCAAAAGAAATTCGTAACAAAAGTTTTTTTCACAAAAAAATAAAGAAAGTTTAGGGGCTAATTCATAATTTTTAAAATAATAGTATACTGTCATAAAACCATTAAGTAATTAGCAATGGAGTGACTAAAATAGGAACAAATCTAAAGTTTAATGAGTAAATTGAAAAATTTAAACTTTAATGACTAAAATATGAGTGAGAAGAAAATTGAGCAATAAAAAATTGTAAGTTACCCTAACACAATATATTTTGTTTTCGTTTCTAGTTATTTCTACCTAAATATCACGTACAACTTATAGAAATTTGTACGAACCAAGCAACCTCGGTGATAAATGAATTGTAGTTATTTATTGAGGTTTCTGGTTTGAGCACTATGAATACTAAAGGTGTAAGCGTTCAATATTAAATGGTTGAGAGTTATCTTTAAATAGATATTGTTTTTACTTACCCCATATTAATAAAAAAATGATAAAAGATCACACCTCTGACATTTATGATGCTCGAACTCGAAACCTCAAGAACTAATAATAATTCCTTTACTGCCAAAGTCGTTTGATTTGTCCGTATTTAGTTTTTTTTAGAAAAGTTGAAATTACAAATTAAATATTAGTAAAACAAAAATTTTAATTTCAGAATTAATAATAATTTATTTTTGAAAATAATACATAAATATAAACTAAAATAACAATACAATTACATTTTAATTATTTAAAAAAATAATTCCCTCAAGAAAAACTCTAGATTTAGGTTAAAATAATATAAAAATAAATGAAATTAAGGTTGACCTAACAATTTTAATAAAAATAAATGGAAGAATAATAAATGCTTCCAGATAAGTAGTAAAGTACGCGGCATTATTAACTTTATAACGACCACATGCTAATGAGCGTGACCACATCTAATCATTAAATTTCATATTATTGCTTAAGTTAAGCCACCAACCGCATTTTTAAAACCCGTGCGTACGGCATCGTTTTAACTAATCACACAATTAGCAACTAACTAAATTAAACCCATCGTGCAACTATAAATATAGCTTTCGGGCGTCCCATTTTCACACATTCGTCGACCATTGTTTCTCAGATAATAGAAAAATAAACGATTTTTTTTAAAAAAAAGAAAATATTTTGATCGTGATTTCTGAGGAACTCATCAATGGCAACCAAAGTGTATATTGTGTATGTGTTATTAATTCTATTTTCCCTCCTTTATATTAATTATTTTTTGTGTGAAATGTTGTTGATTGTGATGCTTGACTCTCTTTTTTTTTCTGTTGGGTTTGAGATTTGAGAGTATTTTTCTTTCTTGTAGCTTTTATTTGATTTAATTTTTTAAATTACTTCATCTGCTTTGTTTTGACTCTGCTGAACAGTTATGATTTAGCAGGAAGTTTGGAATTTCAGTTAATCTAAGAATAATTAAAGTAAAAAAAAATCAGTTTCCTGTCGTATAATTGGAATTTCCGGAGCTGGAAAAATAGGCCTTTTAATTGCTTTAAGTTAGAAATTAATTTCGAGTTGGGTACCAGAGAAATGCAGTATCATTTGTTTTTTCTCCTCGCCATTGATTTTTGTAGTCCGTTTAGAAACAGCCTTTCAAGTTACTGACATCAGTAGTTTCAGATGTATTGGGATTGAGCTATTTTACGAGGCATGATCAAAATGGTAAATTCGTAGATTAAAGTTTACTTTTCAATTTAATTTTGTCTGTTTGGATTGATACGTTAGTAAAATGGGGAAAACTGACTAGATAGTAGTAGAAAACCATGAAATCTTAACTGGGTCTGTTTTGCATCTTTTATTAAACCATGATTTAATTGTTTGTTGGGAATTTTACATGTTGAATATAGATTTGGGTTGTGAAAGGCTATGTTATTTTTTCTGAGTTTAGGTTTAAAATCATTATGCTGTACGAGTAATCAAGGGATTTGTGTACTACTCTCTTAATGACTTGATAAGTGAGACATATAACCCATGTAAGGAGCTTGAATTTGTTGAACAATAATATGGAGGCAGGTTGTCGGTTTTAGGGAGATGCGTCTTTTTCTTTTATTTGCGGACAAGTTTTGAGTTTAAGATGAATCAAGCATGTACTCACAACTATTCCTTATATGTGTTCTTGAGTCACTATCACATGCTATACGTGCTGCTATCATCTTCTGTACTTGTTTGTTGTGATTTAATTGCTCCATATGATGAGTCCTCCAAGAACAGGGTTAAGCAGGGCTCAAATGGAGCCAGGAAATTTTTTTCTTTGGGGCCAGAGCAAGTTCTCAAGATATTAAACCTATCTGAATGGTTGGAAAAAGGACATTAAGTTCCTCATCATTGTTTTGATCTAAAAAATTCTATACTATTTTCATGTTATAGTAAGTACCGTATGGTAGACTTGCTTTTGCATGTTATAGAATTACTATGTTGCTGAAAATTTTTGCACTCTGTAGACCTCTGGATGCTTTCGCTCTAGTTGTTCCCATCGGATTTCTGGAATTGAAAAGCAATGACAACTGTAGGTATTGACAATTTGACATAAGATAAATTTATTGGCATCATATCTAAGCAACATCTGACATTTAATTATTTTTTTTTTTGATAGGAATAGGGCCTCATTAAAAAACCCCTTCATAACCATCAAGCTCCTAAAAACTCAATGATCATAGGAAGGAGGAAAAGAGTGCCCGAAGATTTATTACTAAACAAAAAGATACAACCATTTCAGAACATAAAATACAACAGAAAACCCATTAAACCAACCCCAAAGGAAACCACCAAGTACAAACAAAACACGAAACCTTCTACTAGCCTATGCCTGTTTTAGCTAACAGATCAGCTTCCCCATTTAATTATTTTATTGAAATGGCTAAAACGATTCTCCCTTGTAACAAGGTATCATGTAAGCCCATGGCATACTCTTTTTAGGAGTGATTAGTTCTATACTATGCAATTATTATTATGATTAATACTTGTTGGTTCAATATTTTAGTTAGATTCTTATATCCTAGTTTATGGCAGCATTAACCTTATAGCCCTGTGCCCTGTGTCATTGTAGATGAATAATGATGTAAGGTAATTGGTTCATAGTTTTGCTGTTTATTTGGGCCCTTATATAGGTCCCTTTTCCATATTTTTCCTCTCAAAATTTATCCAGGCATTGATCTTCAAGCTCCCCACTTTTGGAGTCATATATTTGCATCCATTTGTCCTGAAAATAGTTCTCAAAGTGTTGGTTTATGGGCTGACACGCTAAGTATAATATTTTCTTCTTTGATTGTTACGTTGATATTTCTATGATTTCAACTCAGACTTCAACACTCGCTGATTGTTGGTTGATTGTAATTCATCATGTTTCACAATTTGTAACATGTTGTGATTCACAGTTTGTTGTGTGTTGAACTAAGTGGTCCAGTGGTGACCTAAATTCAGTTTAAACTCTTTGACCATACTGATTCATGATGCTAGCCAAAGACCTTGTTACCAGCCAAAAATTTCATGGCCATAATGTATAATATAATTCATGAAAACTGTTACCTTCCTTTTTATTACCTAGAAACATACTTCTTGGTTCAGTCATGTTCTCTTTTTTTATTATATTCTCGGTTCTCCTTTTTTTCCCGTTAACCTTAATTATACTTGGTTCTTTTGTGAATACAGTGAATTCCTTTTGTCAAATCTTCTTTTTTGGGGATAAATTTTGATCAAATCTTCTCACTTATGTTATAGATACTATTCTATGTATGGACATGTGGAAAAACTTGCAGAGGAAATAAAGAAAGGTGCTGCATCTGTTGAAGGTGTTGAAGCTACACTATGGCAGGTAATATCTGCTGTGGTTGAAAAACCTGCCTTCTTTATAGTAGTCTAGACTAATTTATTTACGGATACGGGAAAGTTGAGAGTATTTTAAAATGCAATGTAATGGTTCTATTCTCCAGTAAGTATCAAGGTTGGTAAACTGACTAGATGTCTGCTCGCACATCATTAACTAAGCTTGGTCTCTACTGTTTCATACTCCGTTGCAATGTATACAGTTTTTGCAGCGTCCTTTTCTAATGCTTATATTTTTCTCAATTGAGCAATTTTTTATCTATGAAATCATTATAAATATGCTTTGTTTTTTCATTGAACCTCCTTGATTTGATTCATTGCCCTTAATTTGTTTAACCAAGTTTTGTTAAGACCTGCTGTTTCAGATTCATATAGATATGCTTCCCAGGATTATTTGTTAAACTACATTTATAGAATTGAAAATGTAAATTAAGTAATTGTGGTATATATTCGGTTTAGGTCCCCGAGACTCTATCGGAAGAGATTCTTGGAAAGATGAGCGCACCACCGAAAAGTGATGTACCGATTATTGCACCACAAAATCTTGCTGAGGCTGATGGGTTTATTTTCGGCTTCCCAACAAGATTCGGAATGATGTCTGCTCAGTTCAAAGCATTTATGGATGCAACTGGAGGTTTATGGAGAACTCAACAACTTGCAGGAAAACCTGCTGGGATATTCTATAGCACTGGATCTCAGGGTGGCGGACAAGAGACTACAGCGTAAGTTCTTATATCAACATCATGTAATAGACGTATGACAACCAAAAATTAAATGGAACGACAATGGAAACAAAACTTACATGTAAATCTTTTTTCGAATCAAATACAGGTTGACTGCAATCACTCAGCTTGTTCACCACGGGATGATATTTGTTCCCATTGGATACAGCTTTGGTGCTGGCATGTTCGAGATGGAGCAAGTGAAAGGTGGAAGCCCTTACGGTGCAGGAACCTATGCCGGAGACGGATCAAGAATGCCATCCGAACTCGAGTTGGCACAAGCTTTCCACCAAGGGAAGTACATCGCCGGAATCACAAAGAAACTCAAGACAGCTGCCTGATTTCAATTTACTACAAAACCCCCCACAATTTATCCTTCTCTTTTTTCATTTTCTCTAGAATATCAATTTCCTATATTTTACAAATATGCAAAACAACAATATATGGTAAGTTTGTTGATTGTTCAAATGCCTAACTGTTGGCAACTGTGGCTTTGTTTTGTTTCGGACATTCAATTGGAAACTGCAATGTTCTATTATATTCCCCACTTTATAAAATATTAGAAGTGGTTGCCTTCTTTGGGTATCTTCTATCTAAATTTCTGGGGAGCTTTTGTTGCACCAAATCGATAGAGATGTCTACCAATTTTCGTGCTTGAAGCATATATCGACCTAACGACCATTTAGGTACCTTCTCTTTAGGTATATGCGAAGTTTCATACTATATATTTTGCATTTCCGATATAGATGTATTCATGGTACGAGTAGGATTGAGTTTTCATTGAACTTAGATCTTGTATTAACGAATAAACATTTTCTCTATCTAAACTTGACCTGATTTAAAATGTGGGCATTTACCCCAACCCCCCCCCCTTTTTTTTTTGAATATGACAAGAGTAGAAGCCTAAATAAGTGGGGCTTGCAAAGCAGGATCCATATGATCACTACACAGGAGCTGTTGCAGACCAGTAGGGGGTCTTCCAGAGTTGTTAAAACATCCAAATGGTCGTTGGGGGAGCTTGGCGAGGGCATAAGCAGGCCGGTTTGCCTCTCATGGGATCCATTTGATATCGATCATCCAAGCATTGCTTCGGATTCGGGCGATAGCTCTTAAACAGTGGTGAGTCCAGAGAGCAATCCTTTTAGTGCCGTTGGGGCTAGCATAAACAGCGGTGGCCATGAAAGACTTGTTGGTGCTTTTAATGGTAATACGGAGGTGGATGAACTGAAAATGGTTGAAAAGAACGTCAATATGGATAAAATCATACCACGCTAGCCAAATCCCACCTGAAAAGCCATCAGCCTTTATGCAGTGGGAGTATGAAAAGCCCAAAGAACTGATAACATAATCTGCCTGCCACTGACGCGTAGCTCAACAAAAACAACTAAATCAGGACAAGAGTCTCGAAGATATTGCTTCGCGGTGGAGGTGAATTTCGGATGGCCGCAGCCCTGCACATTCCAATAAAGAGCTTTAAAATTCATAAAAAAAATTATAAAAGATGAATAAAGAACTCCGAAGAAACAAAGAGTAAGTCGTTGCATGTCTCCCTTATTTGAGACTTGTCCATTACAAATGATTATGTCACTACTGTTTTGTTGATTCACCAAAGCATGTATCAAATTTTGCTCCATACGTGATTCCAGTAGCTTCTGAGGGGTCATTGGATTGAGTCATGGATTGAGAATATAAGCCAGGGGCCTTGTCCATCTCAAGGTTGTGGACATTTGGGTTTGCATTCTCATCTATAACATTGGCAGTAAGGTGAGAAGAGTCAAGAGTAGTAGTTGGGTGTTTCCGAGAGCGGCTAGCCTTGTTAGAATTCTTGAGAGATATAGGAATATCCGAGAGAGATAGTGAGAGGCCTTCTTGTATGGGACATTTTTTGCTGCTTTTGAACCACGATGGATTTGCCCTTTTGCTTGGGGGCATTCTTAGGAATTACACGTTCCTTGGTCAGCCGAGGAGAACTTCGATTCGGGGTTATTCCAGTAGTATCCGGATTTTGATGGTCATCTATTGGTTCAAAAATCGGATTAAAGCCAGATTCCGAAATTTCGATGTTGGTGTTGATCTTTGGTAGAGTCTGAGTTTTCTTTGATGGTCGACGTTGTCATTTTTCAAAGATCATACAGGAGCCAAACATCGAGTCATCTTTCTTGGCCGAATTATCGGCTTGCGGGGCCACGGTTTCCTCATGCTTTTGGGTAGATGAAGCACTAGGGCAAGAATCTTGTAAATGGCCATATTTTCCACAACTGAAGCAGATTGCTGGCAGAGCTTCATATTCTACTATCTGGATTCTCCCATTGACAACGAGCTTTGAAATTAAAGGCTTATTTAGATCGATATTGATCGTCAAACGAGCAATAACTCTACCGCTCTCAGTTTGGTAACCCAAGCGAATAACTCTACCGATGCATTCCCCAATCTCAGTAATAATGCTGCGCTTGTAAAGGGTTTCCGTAGACCAGGTAAACGAATCCAAGCCATGATCTTCCTCGGATACGGATTTGATGGCGAAAACTCTTCCGTCCATGGTTCGACAGTCAAGTAGTGGCCAAAGATCGTCTACGGTCCATGTGCGAGAGTGGTAAGAAAATCGTCGCGAGAATGAAAAGTAGAAAGAAAGTAATAGTTTTCTATACCCATAAGTTTGATTGCTAATTTTGGTTTCCATAGTTCACAGATCTTGGATTTCAGGGTGTTGTAGCCGATGCGTCGCCCTAGGAGTTTGAGAACCACCGTCTGGTCCAGGGACTTTGCTGCCAGAGAATTGATTCGATCAGAGAAATCGATCAAAATCAAACCATCAATTATGCTGCGAACAACTTCACCCTCCTGGATCTCGATGTCCTCATCATCGAGAATATCTTCATCATAACAGCGGTCGACAATGGTATTATTCATGAGGAAGGTTTTGTAAGGGTTTGCTTCTCGTTCCTGCTTGTGCCATTGCTTCATCGAGATTTCCTGCATCAGCAGGATAAGAATCAATTGCTACAGAGGATATAGGGATATCCATTAGGATTGCTTCCTCGATATTTATTGGGGATCCACCTTCATCAGGCGGGTCATCATCTTGGCTTTTTGGGGTTTTAGGGTTACGGGGATCGTAAGAAGGTTAAGAGAGAATAGCCATATTTTCCTTATATATAAATTAACTTTAATCTAAATAATTTAGAATATTTCTCGATTTGTGCTTGTTATTCTTGCGCAGAAACCATGTTAATATTCTCTGTATCGTTCCAATTTTATCGGGTTTCATGGGGGAAATTAGGATATTTGTATTGGGATGTGATCTCATTCGTTCGAATGGAGTATTTTAAAGTACTCGCGTGGTTGTGTATTGTAATCTTGTTAAAATTGTAGTCATAACTATAACGTAAGCTTGTAGTTAGTGGGTCGGATTGGGTCGGGTTTTTAGTCCACCCGACCCGATTCGAGAGCAAGAGAGCCTCCACCCGACACCCGACTCGATCAAAACAAGTTTTCACCCGACTCGACCCGACCTAAATATATGACATAGAAACCCGACCCGACCCAAAATAATAAAAAAATTATTTTTATTCAATAAAAACAATAACTTAATTATAAAAAAAATTATATATAGAAGGGTATTATTATAATTATCCCTAAATATATATGATAAAATTATATATATTTTCGGGTCGGGTCGAATTTTTTTCACCCTAAACCCGACCCGAACCCGAACCCAATTTTTTTTAGAAAAATCCAACCCGGTCAGGTCGGGTCGGGTTGGGTTTAAATGCCCATCCCTACTTGTAGTCATTAAACTGGGTAATAGTTATGTTGAGGCCAAGTGGAGTAGGAGTAAAGAAATATATATATAATTCAATTGGTTTTTTAGGTTAATTAGGCATTTTTTTAACTTTCTTAGTACATTTTTTTACTTAGAAGAAAAAGAAACAGTACAAAAGAAGATTATTAGACTGTAGAATCTCATAAAGTTCATGATTAGTTTGTTATGATTGTCTCTCTTCTTTTGTCTTATAAATGATAGGATTTTCTTGAAATTTTTTAATTAATTTTGTTAATTATGAGGTAATTTTGAAAAAAAAAATATTAACATTGAAAGTTAAAATATACCATATTAATATTAATAAATAATAAGAATTAATTTATAAATATTTAAAATTAAATTTATTATTATAAATTTATCATATTAATATATATTTATATTAAAAATAATAAAAATATTTATCATATTAATATTAACAAATAATAAGAATTAATTATAAATATATAAAAATATTTAGAGTTAAACTTATTACTATATCTAATTTGTAATTTTAAAATGTATTCATATTTTTCATAAATTAATCTAAATAAAACATAATTTATTGAGTAACTTTAGTGATGACAGGGAGTGTTGTTGTCTTTAGAAATCTCGGTTTCGAGCAGCTACGTTTGCATGGTTGTTTGTTGTCAATAACTAAGGAAAATTATCAACATAAACTACATTATAATCGCTCTAGACAATTTAAAAAAAAAATCCAAGTGAAACAAAAGGATAATACCACCAACAATCGGTTAGTCTAGTAGGATGAGATACTCTATTTTTTAAGCAAGGTCATAGGTTTAAACATTGGCGTTTGTGAATGGAGCAAACTGAGTTGAGATGGTCACCCTTGTCTATACAGTACCTGATCTGGATTAGTCGATCAATAGATCGGATACCAATGATTAATTCAAAAAAAAAGAAAATACACCTATCTTTTATATTAAAAAATTATATTATATTCTCTTTTAATGAAATCAATCTTCAACACTAATTGATGAAATATAAATTAATTGGTAATCACTATATTTATTTCAATCATCCAATCATTCTTTTAAATCCCATTTTTCTATCCAACATCGAGTCTTTTTCAAAAATAATAATAATAAAGCATTGAATTAAAGTCATTCCAATTTTAATATTAATTAACTAATTATACTTAATAATATGAATTTTTATGTCATGTTATAGTCATAAAAGTGCTTTTAATGAAGACCTAGGAAGGCCACGCATACTAATTATTATCTGGGATATTTTCCCCCAAAGGTCTCCACTGAAAGTATAAAACGGATAAAAAAATCACATATTTTTTAAAATATAAAATATTTCTTGTCTTTACCTTCCAATAGATGCTCTTCAATGTGACCACTCAAAAAAGCACAAAAGCATGAGTGCATTTGTACGTACATTCATGTGTATAATTGAATTAGTTAAATTTAATAATTGAGATTAAAATTTGTAAATTTAAAATTAATTTATTAAATTTTATAATTTTTTATTTTTATTATTAATCTCAATCATATATATCTATTCATTTAATAATTTAAAAATATATAAAATTTAAGTTTCACATTCTATCCAGAAAGAGGAGCTGGAGTAGGCTACCTTCTTCCTTCCACTAACATATTCCAAACAAATAAGAAAATCAAAAGTGGGATTTCCAATCAAATGGCATATCCTCACAATTCCCTTCCTAAATTAATCTTGAAATTATTTTTCCCTATTAATTATGAATTAATTAACATTCCTAAGCCAACAAAACAACCTCTGATCTCATAATAATTATTCTTCGATTATTAAAAAAACAAATTAATATATCTTATATGGTCCCCCAACAGTGCCCAAATCCTTGCATCATTTTGCCTGTTGTTGCCCCCATCTTCTTTGAAGAGTACTTTTGTTTTCCTTATTTTTTCCCCTTCTGGGACTTCACCTTTAAATGTGGACTTCTTTCATTCTTCCCCCACAAACAACTTGTCTAGGGTTTTGATTTACTCTGATAAGAATATACACCAACAGTTGCAGAGAATCAGTTCCATTTGTTTTTTTATTAGTTTGGTAATTTTTGTTCAGAATTTTCTTAGTCTATTAATAATGGATGCATACAAATCTTATAGACGTAAATACTCGAATCTAGTATCTCTAGAGAGAACAACATTATCTTTTATCATTAAGATCGCTCAATATGTTCCATTTACTTATATATATATATATATATATATATATATATATATATATCAGACCCTTTTTCTCTTCACTTTCTATCTGAAAGTTGCTCCAAATGTCGGTGTCCAGAAATCAACAGGCGAGTCGTGTGTCAATGGAAACGTGCTGGAAACAGGCACCAGGCATAGTCCTCGTCTTCTGAGATCTTGCTTTGGACCTTCAGGGTCATTGGATTTCTCAGGAACCTGCCATTAATACAATAAAAAATGCTTAACGAATTATGAAACTAAAAGCTAAATCTATATATATAGCAAGAAAAATATAATGATGTATTGGTACCTGCTGGTGTTGTATGGCAGCTTCGTTATTTTTCATGTATGGGGTAATTAAAACCTGATACAAAAGCAAAACCCTTGTCAGAAATCTGTTAAGTGACATTTTGTGTTTTTTGCAACAGAAATTAGTAGGTGTTGATGGGAACTTACACTGACTTGTTCATGAAGAAATTTTATGTATTCAATGGCTTCTGAGAGCACTGAGGCTGTATCAGTCTACATATTATGATAATTAAAATTATCAATATTATGTCGATGAACTCTGATCAACAATATTTGCTTAAGAAAGTAAAGCGAAAATTTAAAAGGATGATCAGAAAACTCACTTTTCCGAAAGGTGAAACCAATTGTTGGAGTGTATTGATTCTGTCCCCCATCTTCTCTTTTCTCACCTATGATTTTCAATCAAAGCTATTGAATTTGAAAACAAATTCCACACAAAAAAAAAAAGGGTTTCAAGGAAAATCAAATCCTGTTTGTGGAAAGTTTTATCAAACTGATGGTACCTTAAAAGCTGGCATAGTTGATGGGGTTTCATTTCGTGGCCTTTTAGAAGTGGGTTCGTTTCCACTTTTCTTCACCACAGTGCTTGAGTCTCGAACTTGGGATATATTCTGCTGACAATTACAAAAAATATTCCAAACCCTAATATAGAAAAATCTGGTAGCAAAAGATTCTTCAAACAAGGGTTTTTATTTCTTTCTTTTTTACCTTTGGTTTTTCATCGAAATTTCCTGTTGGAAACTGGGGTTGCAATGATGGGGGGAAATGCCCAGGCTTAACATGATCGGCCATGGAAACTGCAGATGGGTTCCAAAAGGGAGCATTGTTTGAGAAATGCAACTGGCCATGGAGCTGATGTAGTTGTTGTTGTTTTGGTGGTGAACTTCTCAAGAAGAATTGATCATTAGTGTTCATTCCATATTGATAATTGGTCGAACTATTCTCATAAGATAATTGATCAAATCCTGTTTCTTTCTGCTCCTGAGGATGATGATAGTTCACATTTGATGTACTCAAGTTATGGTCTTGAAGCATCGACCTGAAACTAGTCTCATGCTTCTCCCCACGGCTGTTCCAACAAAGACTAAAGCTTTAAGCCAACAATTTCAATTTATCTAAGAATCAATATTTCAAGTATACTTACAGCAAAGCTTGGTTCCAATCCATGGCTTGAAGCTTATCGTTCTCCTGGAAAACAACCGAACTACCCGAAACCGATGAGACCGAATCCATTGAAGACCTTGCTGCAGCTGCTGTTTTGATATCAGCCATTTCAGTCGCCCAACCGAAGCTTCCCAATCTATTGTCTAACCCAGAAGATGAAGAAGATGAACCGGCTGTCCTCGATGAATCCCACCAATTTGTTCCTGTGTTAAACTCATCTGCCATAGCCAAAGAAACTAAGCTGCTGTTGCCTTATGGTTGCTTTATGGTTGAATAAAATGATAGAAAACGATTTGCTGCATCTCAGGTTATATATATATATATATAAACAGGAAGCACCCAAAGGATTAAAACAGGTTAATTGGCAGTACTATAGAGAAACAAGAATGCGGTTGACATTTCTGGGGGTGATAAGACAAGGGGAAAGGTCATTTTTGAAATTGAATTTTATCAAATAATTTTCCTGTTTTGGATTTTAATATTTTAGATGGCTTTTAAACTTTCTGCTAAAGTTGAAATTATTTTTTAATATATATTATATGTTTTACAGTCTTTTTTCTATATAGAAATTTTGAATTTTCTCTCTCTCCATTTTAAGTATATTTTTCATATTGAGCAATATATTTTTGTATTTATTGCCAGGGGGAAAGGGTTATATGTAGGGTCTACTTTGCCCAAATAATTCATGCCAAGGATTTTATTTTGAACAATACTTATATTCATTTTTTACAAAATAACATTATTAATATATGAGATTATAATTTAATAGAAATGTTGAGGTATATTATGTGTGGAGAGATTGAGAGAAAGAAAGAGAGTTCATGATTTCCTTCTATAACTATGCATGGTGACTTATATACTTATTCTTAGTATCTATATCATGCTTAAGGTCATAATGACTATTCATAAACTGACATGATAAATAGATATGACTATCAAATAACATATTTGATTATGATAGATTATGCAAATATACCAATAATTGTGTCAATAGATTATAACTGTTCGAGGAATATTGAACTTCATATATCTTTTGAAATTTTGAAGACTTTAACGGACTAAAGATCAACAACAAAAGAGTGATTTGCGAAAAAAGTTCAAAAAAAAAAGTACAATAAACAATTTATGATAAAACTATAATAACTTTTTATTGAGCTAAGACCTAATTTGGTGCCCTGGTATTTATTTCAATCTTATCAAACTCGGCATATTATGTTGATAGCTACCATTCGAATGAATAGTCATACTATCAAAAGAAAAGAAAATATTTTTTTATATAAATAGAAGTTATTAACTTTATTTAAAAAAGAAATAAAATCCAGCATTGTAATAAACATATAATTAGTACATGTCTCTATAATTATTAACACAAGAAATTAACCACTTGAGATGCATATAAGGACCATACAAATAAAAAAGATAAAAACTCTAACAAAAAAAATACGAGCAGAAATTAATCACTAAATATAGTATGTATTTTCACTAGCCAAATCCATTATTGTGGAATTTTTTAGATTTAATGAATTTGTTGATTCAAGCAAATGAAAATTAGAGTCCTATTCATTATCCGTTAGCCAAATCCACCAATGTCTTGAGATTGTTCTATTGACTCGTATATACTTTTTATATTGTGATATCTACATTCAATATTTGTAAAATATTACTCTATTCTTATTGTAATACCTCAATTCTATTTTAATTTGCAGTCATTTCTTCGTTTTTGTCTTTAAAAAGAATAATATTTTTTTATCATTAAAATCATTTAATAAGTTGTTGTAAATGTCAATGAATATATTTTAACCCATTGTCCAAAATAATTCATATTGATGTTAGGTATGATGTGCTTAGTCCCTTAGACACCATATTAATCACAAAGCGTACGTCATGTTTTCATTCATATGACCTTTGAAATACATAGGTCAACGAGTGGGGTCCACGCGGCGGGCGGGCGTGCACGGACACCTGGACCCCACACCCTCTCTCTCAGAGTCAGAGCCCCGAAAATGACTATTTTTATTCTTCCCCTTCTTCCGGTTATTTGCCCCACCTTCACCCCTTGTGTACATTTCACGTACCCTTCGATTTTATATATTTTTTTCAGCATCAAATATTAAAATTTTTCTCTGTTTTAATTGTTTCTAAATAATAACTCATTGCAAAAATTCAAAAGAATTCCCAATTTTTGTTTTTCATAATTATTATCACTTAACTTTTCTTTTTCATTTTTTCCATTAGATAATTAAAAAATTACTATAATAATATATCATTATCTATAGGAAGTTGTTTGTAAATGTGTTATTGTTTGAAATATTAATAAAATATCATCGTTATTAAGGGTTAGTATTCGATTGAGTTGAGTCGAGCTAAAAATTTTGAGTTATTCGAGTTGACGAGTCATATTTTATAACTCAAATTTTATTTGAAATTTTTTGAGTCGAGTTTATAAAATTCGAGTCAAGTTGTTTGAGTTTCTGTTTAAGTATAATTGTAAATATTTATAATACTGTGATAGTATTTGATTCTAATTTGCTATAATCATATGCAATACATATATATTTATTCATATTTTTTCATAAGTGATATACATATATTATACAAAATTGAGGGACTCGACTCAAAATTAAAAATCAATCATCTAATTACTAATAGTTTTGAGTTATTCGAGTTCTATTTTATAACTCGACTTGAATTCAAAAATATTTTGAATCTAGTTTCTTCGAATCAGACAAAAAAATCAATTTTTTAAATCGGATCAAATTTTACTCACATAAGTGGTTACAACTCACTCGTCTTCATCTATATTTCTTCCAAGAAAAACAACTAAGATTTCCACTTTGATGAGCATGTGGGCTGCGCCAATAATCCAATTGAAAAGTTGTCGGCTCCCCCAACAGGACAAGGGGTTATGGATGAAAATTATTGTTTAATAACTCGAAAATAATTCGACCAATTTTATTATTTAACTATTGCAGAAAAAAATAAAGAAGATAAAGAATCTAGCTAATTTCTTACTTAATGGAAACATGATCTATTATATAATAGAAGATAATTTTTAATATAAAATCAGAACAAGTCTACAAATTGTTTAATTGAAACATGACCAAATTCTAATCATCCTCACCAACTCCCTAAAGCTATAATCTCACCACATAGTACTAAATGCATTAAGTAGTATACTTTTATTAGTAACATACTCAAGGGGGAAATTAAAATCTAACAAAAGTGGAAAGCATCATAGACTGTGTTAGGAGTGTACCTCAAAATCAAAAACAATACTAGTTTAAGAACAAATGTAAGATTTAATAGAATTGTGCCTTAAAGACCATCTCTCTTTCTGTTGACTTAGTTAGAGAAAAAAAAAACTGTCATATTGGGTTTGAAAATTGTACTTTGAATTTCCACCTTGAAAACTGTCATATTGGTGACTGTGTTCTTCCTCCCGTCGTTTCTCGTGAGCCTTGCCGAGATTACATGTACATTGACCACAGTGACAACGTAAGATAGGTTCGTAATTACTCAGTTCATCCCAAAAAAAACCTTCAGTTTGCTATAATACGTCGCAACCGTCATCGATTGAGATTGTCCGCAACGAGCAATATTAGTTTTTAATTGTTGTATTCTTGCGCCATTGACAATTGCGAATTATTCATTTAAATCATCCCATAGTAATTTTGCGTTGTCGTAATTCGAAATCATAGGTCTTACCTCTGAATCAATTGTATTCATAAGCCATGAAACAAGCATACACTGTATACAAACCCAATCATCCTTTGTGCATGGTGGCTTCATTTCGATGGATGTACCATCAAGAAAATCGAACTTGCACCGAGAGGACAAAGCTACACGAATAGCATGTGCCCAATCATCAAAATTATCAAGTCAAAGTCGCACTAGAGTGATGAAGTCTCCCAGATGATCCTGCGGCCCTAAAAAAATGGTGACGTTCTATCTATTATAGTCATTTTGTAATTTTTAGGAGTTGGATCTTGATACCATGATGATACTTGGAAAAATCTTATTCATATTGTTCTTCATAGAAGAATATATATACACAATATATACACATCCCTTAATATATGCTGTAATAATTTTATATTTTAAAATTTAATATTAAATTAGGAATATTATATTAATTAAATATTAACCAAAATATAAAATAATTATCTTTTATTCTTATTCATGGGAGAGTAATTATGTTGTGCAACGGTCTAATATAAGGTTAATTTGTGATATATTTGTATCCAAAACTTTATCATGTCCAACTTAAAAATTTATACAATTGATAATTATTTTGAATATAACTAAAAGTTATATTACGGCAATTTTTAACATAAAATATTACATGTCTAATCTAAAAAGTTACATATATCTTAATAATTTTGGTCACAATTGAAAATGTTTTGATAGTAACTTTTTAATTTACAATAGGAATAATTATGCAATTTATATAAATTATTATAAAAAATGTAATATTTCCGTATTTTAACCTAAAATGATATTTAATTTACTCTAAAAAATTACATTTCTAATAAATTTTTTAATTACAATCGATTTTTTATTTTATTTTATATTAACCAATTATATTTTAAAATTATCTATATAATAAACCAATAAATGAAATATCTTATCAAAACTACCTTGAGGTACCATAATTTGGCAGTCATTGCTGCAAAGTTGGTAAGAATGATAATATACAGTGCTAGAAGATTTGTTGTGTGGGGGTTAGGGCACATGGGTCAGTTTCTTAAGCCAAGGACTTAACAGCATGACCTCATTTTTGCATCAATAAAAGTAATTTATAATTTATTTAAATAAATAAAAAGGATTGCTATATAATCTCACCTTAAAAAAAATTATAAATGTGAAAAATAAACATCTGATTAAAGTTGCTTGTGTTTATGAAACGTAGGTCCATGGGGGAGCCTGGAAAAGTAAGGTATAATAATTTATTTATTTTTCAAAAAAATATTTAAAAATATATATTTTTGAAGGGTTGATGATGAAAATATGAATGGGAGTTATAGGATGGACCTACTACCAACATTTCTTTATTCTCTAATGATCATTATTGTTGTTTAGTTCCCGTCATCTGTTTTTATGTTCAGATCCATATTTTATTAGAGGGGTACATATCTATTTTTTTAAAAATTTTAAAAAGAAGTTTATTAACAACATAAACTCAGTTTTAAAATTTTAAAATACCCTTTAAGTTTTATAATAATTTG